ATCACACAAAATACTTGTACAATGATATAAAATACGAATGAATACTACCAGTAAAAAATATTTTACAAAATGTTGGTATTTAATCTTATTTTCAAACATTATCATAGCTATCTTTCTAGTGATTGTAGAATACAATTTAAGACAAAACATTTCTCAGATTCAACGATAGCTAACAAAGTCCACCTAGGTAGAACCAAAATGGAAGCTATTGTCAAAATGTACTATGTCCGTTCGCTGTTGAAAAAGCAGTAATAAAACTTAAATATCCTACTCCTATTCCCTTTTCTGTATCTACAGACGCTTCAAATAAGGGAAATAAAAAATTTTTTCCATTAGTGGTTAGATTATTTCATTTTGAAGATGAAGTGAAAGATTATCTTTTTAGGATTTTACGAAAAATCAAACGAATTTTCATAGTTAATTTTTAACACGATAACTTCTGCAATTGAATCTCTTAGCTTAGATATACAAAACATTACGGCTTTTAGTGCTGATAATGCTTCTGTTAATTATGGAAAAAATTATTCGGTCTTCGAAAAATTATTTCTTAAGCTAATTGTAACTATCACGTGATTTATAACGCAGCAAAGCATTCCATGAAAGTTATAAAATACCATGTAGAAATGTTGGTATTTAAAGTATTTAATGAGTTTTCTATGAGCTCAAAAAAAGTAAATGAACTTAAAGAATGTTTCGAATTTGTACAACAGGACTTTCATAATATATTGAGACATATTCCTGTGAGATGACTCAGTTTGTTTAATGCCGTGAACCGATTAATTTTATATTATAATGCAATTAAAACTTATTTTATAAAAAATAGAAAAAAAGAAATGTGATAAAATCATATAGAAATTTGTTGGAGATCAAAAAAATGAACTTTTTAAACAGTTAACTTTAAGTGAATGTTACATTTGGTTTGTTCATCATGTGTTGTCTATTTTTCAAAAATATATTTTAACACTAGAAAAAAATAATTTAAACGCTCCAGAAGTTTATGCTATAATATTTAGTTTGAGATCTTTAATTTTAAATTGTAAAAATGATCATTTCTTTGGAATTGTAGTAACTACACGATTACCCAATTTTACTAGCAAAGAAAACGATATATTTAAATTTGATGCTCTAAATGTTTACAAACGTGGATTAGAATATCTTGAAAAATTGGTTGATTATGAACATTTTCTAATTAAATTGTTTTCGTGTTTGAAGGCAAGTAAATTACCTAAATTAACAGATTTACTCGACCTGGCAAAATTAATTAAGGTTTATGTCAATAGAGATGAAGTGTATGATGAGCTTAATTTGATAAAGTTATTACCTACCAAATGATATTCTAAATAACACAGAATACACTAGTTCGGAAAATGGGTAAAATTTTTCCGATAATCTGCTGCACAATTAAAAAATATTAAACATATTGTACAGTATGTATTTTCGGAGCCATGTAGTAATGCATTTGTTGAATGCGTTTTTAGCCACATGAATAGTTTATGGTCAGATGAACACAATCATTTAGGAGTTGATACGATTAAAGCCAAATCAGTTATAAGAAATAGCTTAACATATAATTGTTCGGAGTTCTTTGAAGAAATACAAAATGAAAAACATTTATTAAACGCTGTGAAAAATACCGCTAAATATAAATTTAAAAGTATATAATTTACCTTACTTTATTTAATTATTTTAAAATAATGTAATATTAATATTATTAAATTTATTATTTTAACATTATGTAAATATATCTATGTATGTATATATATTAATATATTATTAATAGCAATACTATTGATATTATTCAATTTAAGTATTATATTAATTTAAATAAAAATTCACTGAAAATAATGACCTTTTTTTTTTTTTTTTTGATACACTTAAGCTGGTATTTTCCAAATTAAAAGTTGGCAACCCTAGTGATAAAATAATGTTATTGTGTGCAAACATCGATGATTAAGGGGTATTACATTATAAGAATACTGTAATTATAATTATTGTTATGTTCGATTGTCGTAAGCTAAAGCGTATACGCAGTCTAATCACTGAAAGTATTATTGTGGTAACAATTCAATCAAAAGTAAATGTGATACAGTGTGATTCAGCAAGTATGCTTACTGCTTAACAGCTTAGCACAATTTTTTTCTTTTATGGATTTATTTAAATGCTGATTTTTGGAATTCACGTTGATATACTTAAAAACTTAAAAAACTTATATTTTTAAATACTTAGATTCTAAATCAAAATTTGAACGAATAGTTTCTGAATTATTAAAATTTACGTACTAAAGACGATATTCCTTAAATGAGTAAACAAAAAACATCAAACGTCTTAGATATAGTATTTATTTTATTCAGACAATGTTTTCAGATTATAAAATATTGATATTTATACCAATAAGGGTGGTTTTCATTTGAAAAAAAGAAGTTTATATCGACTTCTTAAATAGTATATAAAAATGTATCTATCTAAAATAAATTTAAATTATATTATTTAAGTATACCTACTCAAAAATTTGAAAATAAAAATAAAATAAAATAATAAGCGTGAGTGTGCTTAGTGAATCATTCTGTTTAATACTAACGTTGCCTATCTATTACGACGTTAAAGACGTTTTTTGAGAATATCATCATCCGTAAACGCCACACACAAATTAATCTGCTACAACAACAGATGACTAGGTATAACAACATTGTCATCAATGTATTATTTTGTTTTCGTAGTATATAACAATATGATGATGGGCCACTATAGCCGATTAGAAAAACATAATAATATATATAATAATGTAGATTGGAACAATGCCATTTGGCTTTCTACTTTTTCTATACTTTTTTCACGCACATCTATGAATAAATGTGTTTCAATAAATAAAAGTTATTAATCATGTACTCGCGTGAGAGTGTTACGTAAAGATGTATATCGTACGTATACTCTAACGTATACTATAACTCACGGTACACGTGTGCAATTTAAGCATGCCAAATTTTAAATTCGTTTATTCTTTTAAAAATGATCACATAATTTAAATAACGTTTAGAAACTATATCTAATGTACCCACGTGGGTTAGAGGTTACCAAGGAAGGTAGATGATTTTGTTAAATTGCCTTAACGTACGTAAAATTTTCGATACGATCATTTAAAATGCGCATTAGTAGCTACAATAAAGATCACGACCATACGGAGCTGAAATTGCAAACGACTGGCAGGCGACAGAATAGTCATGTTTAAAAAACGTTCGACATATCTGTTTAATTACCGTATAAGAAATTATTTTGAACTGCGAAAGGCATTGGGATATATTATTTCCAAACGACTATAAATGTAATATATTTTTTCGTCTATATATAGTATATACAGACATACCACACATGTAGATAAAATATTTCTAGAAAGTTTGGAATCACTTTTCGTATTTGCGGCGTACACGATAACTATATAATGTATACATCAGTGCAAGTACTCGGAACTAATATAAAGATTATTATTTATTACTATCACCAATATCTAACACGTATTATTATCAGTTCAAGAACTTAAACGTATTCGTTAATTAAATTCTATTAGTTTTCAATCGTCGAAAGCGTTGTCGTCAAATATCATGCGAAATCTCGCATAAAAATTCAACCAATTTAGGGTTTCCAAACTTTCATTTACTGATAGGTACGTAAAAGTAATGGTTATAATTTATTATAACGGTTCTATCGATTTTGTCAATCCTATACGCGCGTCGAGTTTGTCACGACGAATTCTTAAGATACGAATCAATAATCAATGATCAGTGTCTAAAAATACCAATAATTGATTGTACGTATTGATTTCGTACACCGTAAAAGTATAATTTTATAATGTAGATTATATATTAAGACCAATTTTATGAAATTAAATGTATATTGTTGTATATTTAAAACAACAAAAATGAAATAGTAGAAATAGTAAAATAGATTTGATAGACAAAATCGTAGTAAAAAAAATAAAATATTATAATATACGAGTTAGAGAGTTAAATTACATTATAGAATATCGAACCGCACAAAGATACAATATGATGACATGACAACATGACTGTGTAGTTTAGTTGATTTCTTCCGCAAACGAATAATACGTATCATGCTATTTTTTCAGGTTATATTGTTAAATAATTTCATCATATTTAAACATTAATCACACCTTATGATCTATTAAAAATCATCTAACTAATAACCAAACTATAAAAACAATGTTTTGACTATGTAGAAGATCTTAAGATGGGTTCATAGCTGCGTCGTCTACAGTCGTGTCGTGCGTCTTTTATCGTATTCTGATTGACTTTTGTATTCTTATTTCTTACACTGGTGTTATATACTATCTTTCACAATAACCATGATCTAACGGAAAATTTAAAAATTGGATCGAGCTTAACTTTTTTACACGACACGACATCATGATCCTGCATTGTTACTGTTGATAAATGAATCGAAAAATGCAATGAATTTTATAACTTTTAATATTTTTGATTATAGTTTATACAAGTTTATTTATTTGGTAAACGACCTGTACAGCTTCTACCGTTTATATAGGACATAGGTTATAGTTATACACTCACGGTGGTAACCGGACTCCATCGATCGGGCCCCTGTTATATTGTTCAACGCAATCATGATTCTATGATAATTTATATCGCCTAAGTTATGACTAATGACTAACAGTGACCGTTGTTTTTGAATTTACCCATTTTTAATTGACAACTAACGATGGACTGAACATTAATTCATAGTATTATTTTTATTATCATTTGTTTAAAGTAATAGTATTAAAAAAATGAATTGTTACCCGCGGAGCGTGGACGAGGGAGGGGGGAGGTCGCGTTAAATAATTTTCCACTCTAAACGCGATTTTGAAATCGTATTGGACTTAGCTCCACTTTCGATGTTTTCCCGATTCTTGCGCCGATTATTACACCTCGTAAATACATTTATGTTATTACCATACTAACAGTGGTCTTTACGATAACCGTGTGTTTTAGGTCAGTACCACATAAGATGATAACCACGACGAACCAACAACAGACAGTAGGTGCAGATGAACAGCAACCGACTGCGCGGACAGCACTCGATCGCAACGGTGCGGGACAGACGACCGGCAGCGACGGCTACGGCCACGTTGTTGACGCAATGCCGCCGCACTAATTTCGGAATCGGAGTCGGATGCGGTGACGCCGCACGTCTACGCACTGACGGCGGTCGGTCGGTATTCCGCAACGGCGTAGTCGGCGCCGACAACGAGTTATCGAACGACGCGATGGCCGCGTCCGTGGCGTTACCCGAACGGTATCGACAGCCGACGGCCACGATACCGGCCGCGTCTCATCATCAGGCGAAGGCGATGGCGACCGACGGCGATCGCTCGCAGCACCGCCGTCATTACCAAAACGGTTACCGGCCACATCACGCCAAGTACAACAGCGTGTCGGCCGGCAGCGCGCTGTCCAAGTCCATGCGATACGCCGACGGTTGGCTGTACGAACGGGACGCCGGCGGCGGCGGAGGTACAGTGGGCCGTCACTCGGCTGCGGGTGGCCGAAACAAGTCGCGCAGCACTTTCTTGGACCGCGACCACTTCGGTACGGTTGCGGCGGCCGCCGTGGCCGCAGCCGCCGCCGCGGCCACAGTGGTAGCGCCGCCGTCCGAAGATCCGTACGAACGTGTTCGTAGGAACCGCATGGCCAATACGGTCACCGCGATTGGAAAACTTGACCGGAAACGAAACCGCAGCGGCTCGCCGAGAACGCCGTCTCCCGATTACGACGACACGGGTTCGGGCAACAGTGTCGTCTCGTCGTCGCGTCGGTCGATACTCGAGTGCAACGTCAACCCGTACGATCTGTTGCAGCAGACCTCCGACAACGATGACGACGACAACGATGTCGACGGAGACAGTCCTAAGAGGATGTCGCTAAAAGACAAGTTTATGAACCGTATACAGGACACGGTGTTCAACAAGAACAAATCGAGTATAGGTGGTTTCGGATCGTTTTCGTCCAAAAAACCCGTGTTAGATCGCAACACAGACGGAGGCGTCAACATCGCCGGACACACTGTAAGCATAGACCCCCTCTTTATATCATGTACATTTTCAATAGTTTTCTTAGTTTTGTTTATAGTTAATCTTTCTGTAACTGAACTGTTTCTGGTTACATTATAATTCTAATAAGATATTGTAAACCAACAATTATATCGCACATATTTTATTAATAACAAAAAGTTCAGTAATTATATTTTAATAAATTTATGATATATTTTGGTGTCTTAATATTTGATTGAAATTGTCCTTTTAAGGGACCCATAACAGCAAATTATTTTACGTTTAGAATAATATGAATACAAAGGATATTTTTGATGTTTTAATTTTAAAGTTTTAAAATACTTATAAGTTATAAGTTTTAATGTATCTCAAAATTAAAATAACGAAAAAGTCCACAAGGACGCCAAATATTATTTTTACCTTAAAATCTTATGATAGATAAATTCACTAAAATATTAAAAATAAAATAGCAAAATTAATCATTCTAAGTGTAAAATTTACCATTTTATCTAAATTATAATTATTATGAAGCCAATTTATGTCCCTCAAATATATCTACTTGAAGCGTTCTCTTAAAAGTTAAAACAATTATAAAAATAAATAAGTATTTTATAATAAGCAGTTTAAAACTATAATATGTAAATACTGAATTTATGTCTTTAATTTTCAACATCCTCCCCTCACAAATGTTTTTAGAGATACTCCAGTTCGTCAGAGATTTAGAATCGTGGCTTTATTATACAACTCAAATTTACAATTTTACAGGTTCGACTATTTAACGGCAACAAGTCTCCTGCCACTCACGAGAACGCATCCTCGGTGTGGTACGACGACGGGTCCTCTACGGACGTGGCCGCTACAGTGGCTGTCGAGACAGACCAATCACCGGTAAGACCTCCACGCCGCCGGTGCAAGCCGACCACCGGTTTCCATTTATCCACGGGTCCAGCTAAACGGTCTCACTCACTGACGACGTGCGGCACGACCACCGTATCAGCTGAGATTAAGTCCATATTGAAAAAGCCAGCATCGCTAACCACGGATGACCTGAGTCCTGTCAGGTCGCGGACTCCGGTCTCCGCATCATCGGTCATCGTCAACGGTGTCAGCCCGTGTAATGGACTGCAAAGGAAGATGAAAAAACAAGTGCAATTTGACATCGTTTCAGTAACCGTCGAAAAATCAAGTAAAGACGACGGCCGTCACTCGAAGACTGCAGCTTTACCGGGCACCGAAAACCGTGTCGAACACACGCCGCTGACGACGCCTACACCACCTACTATATCGAGTACGCATCACTTACAGCATCGGAAAGATCAAGACCCATCGTGCAGTGGTAAGTTTCTCGAGTTTTTCCATCTATCTTTTCTCATAAATATACACGTAGACCCCGAATAGTTGCCAATCGAAACATTTTCGACTATACCTAAGTACCAAAAGTCTAAATTCCTTTTAGGTTTCTGGTATAAAAATTTACTTCTATGTTTTTATTTCTCCCATAATTTACGTTAAACTATCTCACTAATTAATAATATTGGAAATTGATTAGTATTCATTATGTTAGTCATAGTATTCTCCTACTCATACAACCGTAATTATCTTTAACATTTTGTCGCTAACTGCTTTTAACGTTACCCGCTTAGAAAAACGATTGGCGTTGGTAAAGTAGATTAACACTTTCGGTTAGTTCATGAATGAAAAAAAAATTATTTACAAATTATTACCTTATACACCCATAGGTACCTGCATACCTATTTTTTTTATTTTTTTCGGGTTAAACGCGCTATATAAAATTCATGCAAATTTGTAAATAATTGATTATCTTTTTCTAAATATATATTTTTTTAATTATAATTATAAGTCCAAGAATACTTGAAATCGTTGTATTGGCTATGCGTTTGCTGTAGATATTACATAATTTATAAACATGTTCTTACAAAAATGGACGGATAAATGAATTACCTCGGTTTTTAACGATAACAAAAAATTATTTCTGTTGTCTCACGCAAGTCGGATGACGTGGGCGCTTTCCAGCGGTGCCAGTTTTAGACTATGGGGAAAGGCATCTACATTGGTATATCTTAGATTGGAGTGGAAAAGAAGAGGAAGCGCTTATAATATGTCTTTGATACACGATTGTATTATGATAACGTTTCAAAAATATGCGTAATTGTTTTTCTTCGACAATGATAAGTATTATGTCACATAGTGATAGTAAGATGGAGGGAGTTAAACTTTATACATTATCACAGGAGTGGTAAGTGCTTTATAAATTCACGTAAATCGCGATATTTAAATTATTAAAAATAATAATAGCAATAATAGACAGAAACAACAGTGATTTGGACACGCGTGAGGTTATTTTGACCATTATACACGTGTATAATATAATGTGTATAAAAAAAAAATAAGCGTCTTAATAAAATATTACTCAATGCGAGCAAACCATTACTATTATACGGCTGTCGTATATAAACCTGATCCAGTAACGAGATGGTGATTATACAGAATTAAAATACCTTTGATTCGGGTCTTGCCATCGGTTGATGAAAGTTCTAATTTAATAATTTACGTATAAAACATTGCGTTAAATACTAGACTTTCCGAGTCACGTTAACCCCTTCATAAGTAACCATCCTATTTCCTCATGAATTGACCTTTATTTACTATTAAGAATCCGTACGTAATTTCTCATCACATGAAACTTATGGTTTTTAGGTCCGGATGCGATCGTGGCAGCCGTTGAACGAAAACTGAAAAGGAGCCTAAGCGACAGACAGAACTCTGGTAACGCGATAGGGTCGGATGACGTTACAGTATTCAACGACACGATGCGAATTCACGTGAGGCACAAAAGCAGACCTGACAGTCGGGTGATGTTCGAAAGGCCAGCCGAACCACCTCCACCCCCACCTCCACCACCTCCGTCGGCGTCCACTCCAACAATCACCGAACTGTTTCTGTGCGGAAATAGAACAGGCTACAGTAGTGTGGACAACGACGACAACAACAACGACAACAGAACGGTGGTGCAAGTTTCGCCGTCCGACGAGCTCAGAAAGTGTCCAGAATATCCAGTCGAACCGGAACAGAAAACGTCCATACTGATCAACTCAAGCCCGGGACTGAAGACGTCGGTGATTATCGGCGAGGGCGGAGCGGCGTACGCGGCGTCATTTGACAACAAGGTGACTATCAGCATCGGGCCGACCGGAAGCACGGGCCGAGGGAACAAGTGCGGGAACTATAAAAGCAACGTAACGGTGGTGGACAGGGCTGGAAGTCGGATGTCCGACTTCATCAGGATGAACTACGATCCTGTGCAGGCGGCCCACCTGGACGTAACGCCACACGTGTGTGGCCGCAGGTCTGGCAGTGGTGGTACCACACCATTGGTCAGCCCGTACCGCGTGTCGGAAATCGAAAAACACCACACAGCCGTCCACCCGATGTCAGATACAGAATCCAGTTCCGAATCGTGTTACGCTTCGGCTAAGGAGGACGCGTCCTACTCGTCGGCATCGTCAGCATCCACGTCTTCGTTCTCCTCCACATCGTCGTCGGCTACTGCTGCGGCGATGGCACCCGACTCCGAACCTATTTACGAGGAGATATCGGAATCACCCACTCCGCCGCCGCTGCCTTCATGCCCACCACCGGATCGCGCTGACCACGAGCCAGCCACCGCATTACCGTGTCGGTCGATATTTGAGGGTGCCACTAAGTACGACATCATCAACTATTTAGTGGACGCGAAACGTAGGTGCGGTTCATTGCATGACACATCCGCTTGTCACCCCAAATTCGTAGTGGTCACCGACGAACAGGCAGCTGGCGAGTCGGATGTCTGCAGCGGCAGCACCTTCAACGACTCGGGCGAGGAGTCGCCGTCATACAGCGGCTGCGGCCCAGCGATGACCGCGATGTTGCAGTCAGCCGACCCTGCTAAGAAAGCCGTGGTGGACATCGAACGCAACGATTCGGGAGTGGGCTCGGAGACCAGTCAAAGCTCGCGGAGCAAGTGGCAACAGCAACAACAGCAGCAGCCTCACGAGACACAGCACAGCTGCGAAGACTGCGACCAGCCCGTCGAAATACAGACGACAGATAGGTTAGTCGGATTTTCATTAAACGATTTTAACGGGATTTTGATGTTAAATTATCGTATTTGAGTAGGGGGCGTACGTGTATTGTATATAAATCGTACGTCGTGCGCGTACAAAACACAACGACGATAATCAGTGGCAATGGCTATATATTCCATGGGTTATGGTTGATAGGAGTCCAAAAATATTTCCAAAAAAATCACATACAAATCATACTACTTAGTATAGCCACCACTGACCATAGGTAATAAAAAAATAATCGTGATTAGTGCACTCTATAATACTACTCTATAATTGGTTGAGTCGGATGAGTGTTACTGAGACATAAAATTAGGTGTGCGGTCTATATGGGTATTAAAATATTCGGATGATTAATTTTGAATGTTTTTAAATTATTATTTTTAGATATTATTACTAATTATAAATAATTATATGTAATGAACCTTTAATAAAGATAGTTTAAATATAGTGGTTGGTTGCCCAGAAATTCAACCCCAACAAAACTGCATAATATACATAATACTTGGCGCAGCCGCCACTTACGATGGATTTATTGGTACAACGATCGTACTTACTACAGAGTACTTATTATTGTCGAGTCACGTTTTAAATGTTATGATATTATATTTTGTCTATAAACGCAATACCCGAGAAGAAAGTAATGCACGCGTAGTATAGTACCCAACTAAACAGGTATAGTCATTACTTTTATTATGCACGTGTATACTCGTATAAAGTAGTTGATTTGAAGTTAAAAATGCACACTCAGCTTGGCTATAAACCCTCGAATCACGCCTGCAATAAACATCTCGTATCGTTTCTTTGTTGGTCGTTTACCTGTACGTCAACACTGTGATTTGTATTATTATTATATTACCAAACGGTCACGTGCCGCGTTTAATATCCGTCCGGCTGAAAACGGATTATTGTAAGTACGTTTTATCATTATTTTCATCGGGAAACACTTATGCGCTCAACTCACGTATAGTTAATCTCAGCCACCGCGACCTCCTGCTACACCGTGAAAATCATTAGAATAGATATCATGTCGTATTCGGTCCTCATCACATGACATCTTGTTAAACAAAACGATATTAATATCTGTATGTGCAGTTTGCAGATACTTTTTGGAAATTTTTATTTTTTTTTAAAGACAACCTGACCTTAATATCGAACTATTAAAATCTGACGTACTGCGGTGTATGAGAATGGTTTAACTTACAATCTAAACTCTAATAACCAAATTTCGCTTGGTTCGATAATTCAATAGAACTTGGAATAAATATTTATTTTAATCGATAATTTCACGTGTGTCGCATGTGTATATCAATTCATTATTGCAACCTCATGATTCATTTAAAAGTAAACGTAAATACATATTTTTAAATTTTAGCTATTATTTATAGTTATTATAGTTAAAATAATCAACTTTAAGTATAAAAAATACAAACTATTTTCCTGGGCGTCGATGGATGTTCGTTATTAAACAGATTTCATATAAAGGTCAGAACGAATACTTACCAACAATTCAGACATCACCTTATTTGAACCCAAAAGTAATTGGAATATAAACGTTAACTTTTTTCTGTCCCTAGTGCAATTCGACAAAAATAAGTGCGATTCGATCTTACCCCCTGTGCATTATTCGTTTTTATTTGTTATAAAAATTGTATTTTAATATTGATCGTGACTATTGTCAGCAACTGCAGCAGTGATAATAACGTAGAATGTATTTATATGTATAAGTACTTGTTAGTGCTTACCAACCCGTTTAAAATCTATCAGACCGTCGCCAGGCGATCGTTCGTTATATTATATTTTTTATATAGCGTTACAAAACTTTCAAAGAATGGTAAATAATAATTATAACAAAATATTTATAATTAATAATAGCATAATAAATAACTAATATTTCATATTAATATGTAAACAAATAAAACAATTGTTTTTAAAATCCTTTAATATCACGCATTTTTATCTATTCTAACAATAATTTTTGTTGTAAAAATTCAATGTCAATGTTAAAAATTGCGAGAAATAAGTAATAGCTCATCAAAATTAATTTTTAACAATATTTTGAAATATGCTAATACATATTGTAAGATAGGTATAAAGTTTAAATTAAAATATTACACATATACAGTATACACATAATATAATGATAAGCCGAAAACATATCAACACGATTAACATAATAAAATATAATCTAAAATATTATATGAGGTATTTGCCCTTTTTCCTTAAATAGATGACGTAATAAACTAATCTATTTGTAAAATATCGTAGAAATGCAGAGATATCGTTTATGAATATTGATATTTTAGATTTTATTTACAACAAAAAAGTGCCTGTAGTCGTGTAAATACTGTATAGTTGTGCTACAAAGTTTATTTCAAAATATACGATTACCATTTACTTAAAAAAGTAAAATTCAGTATGCTTTGTAATTTTATTTTAAAAATAGATATATGTTCTTTTTCAATAACTTACCTATAATACTCGATTAATGATGGAGAAAAAAATACTTGATATTAAATATTCAAAAATTAAAAGGAATAGGTACGCCACCTTAGAGCTCATTTGCAGCATCTAAATATTAATCTAGCACACATAAGTAGTGGGTGGGGAGAACTGAAGCAATAACGAATAAACAAACAATTAAATAATATCGGCTGTTGTTTTTAACTATTCGCAGTGGTATAATGTTTGCGCCGCTGGTGTGCCGCAAGTGTCATAAGCGCAGAGCCGAGCGGCGAGAGATCATAGCCGAAATCGTTGAGACTGAAGAAAAATACGGTCGAGACCTGGACATCATCACCGAGGAGTTTTACCGACCCATGATGGTAGCCGGTCTGCTGAACGCCGACCAGCTGACCACAGTGTTCCTCAACGTATCCGAGTTGAAAGAACATAGCGCCGCTCTGTCACAAAAATTGCGAGACGCGTACGAAATAGCTGTCGAACAGGGTGACGACGATTTGCTCACTGTAAACATCGGCCGATTGTTCCTGGAAGCTTCGCCGTCTATGCTACATGCATTCCAGTCATACTGCACTCGCCAAGTACGTCCTTACATAAACTAACCTAACTTGTGTACCTAACATAACCTACTTACTATACGTGTGGCATCGTTTCGTGACTGGATCTATATCGAAAACCAATTAGTACTCTGATGACGTCGTCATCGTGACAGTATTTACGAGAGCGTGTACATCCGATTTTTCATCTTTAATAACGCATAGAATTTTTATAAAAGTGTTAACGTATCAAAATAAAAATATAAACCAATGATTTTCGAATTAATTAACTTTATATATTAAGGATAATAATATGTCCATGATAATAGGCTCAGATTATACTAGAGCTTTGATTAATTAAAAATACTAGTCTGTAATAATTAATATTAATCTATCAGCAATAAGTTGTAGTTTGTAAAAATGATTCAAGTGTAACTAAAAATACTAGATCCAATGTAATATGTATTTTATATTTTTATAAAACCTTTTTGTGGACTATTATTCTAGTACTATAACCATTTTAATAACCGAGAAATTATTCGTTTGAATTTCGAATTAGGTACAATGATAGTAAATTAAACTTACATTTTTAGACATTGCTGTCATTGAAAACTTATTTACAACGTGTACAAAGTAAAATAGTTCTAGTTTCGCGATAGCAAAAAAGTACGATAAAGTTATACTTGACCATTTATTACATTATCACCGTGATAGTACCTACCTGCAATAGTCTTCAACTCCATAGTCAATGATGCGTGCACTATAAATTATATAATGTGAAAGTTCTATCGTGACAGATCGATGATAGTTACGAATTCTATGTTCACGTAACAACGTTTTCGTTTCACAGGGTAACGCTGCGTTGCTGCTCGCCAACCTAGAGAAGGAAAAAGAGTTGCTGCGTATATTTTTGAGAGTGTCGCAGATGGAAAACGCCGTACTACGCCGAATGAATCTCAACAGTTTCCTAATGGTGAGCTTAAAATTATTATATCGATACGGCTGCGAGCATCATTGATAACGATTTATACGCGCGCGCGCGCACGCATTCATACGACCGTGTCGCTTGCAAACGAAAAGGAGGGAATCGTGCGTTGACGAGGCTGAGCGTGAACGACGTTTCGTCGCGCCTTATGTATTATTAATGAAAAATCTTAATACGATCGTAATCGTTTATGATTTTCGTCTGTCACACCGCAGGTGCCCGTCCAACGCGTGACCAAATATCCGCTGCTGTTGGCCCGCTTATACAAAGTCACGCCCGAACACCATCTAGAAGCTCGGCAGACACTCAACGAAGCGAGGCACAAGATACAATTGCACCTGGAACACATTAACTCCGTGAGTGTCTTAAACACGAATTTTTTTAACTAATTTTTCTTTCTACAATCATTGCATGTTCAAAAATCCCATTTGTTTGTAGCTGGCGAAAGACATCAGTTCCACGAAACTATGGCGAAAAATTTACGCGATCAACGGAAAGAGGTCTGATAATGAGGACTTGGCTGACATAAAATTTCGCAAGGTAATATTCACTATTGTCTGTTATTATTTATGAGTAGGTATTGACGACAAAAGAAAAAAATAATACATAACAGGTATTCATTAACATCAATTGGTATATTTATAATTAAAATTTTTATCTTCTTGTACATATAAGAACGGTCAATATAAAAATAATGAAGCAATTTACATTATAACAGTATAGTACTTGTTAATCAAAACTGAAAACAAATATTATCATCTTTTTTTATTAATTTTGTTATATAAATTGTGTCGAAAGTGAATGACTATTTTTCATCACTTTAAATTCAATCCTAGCATGTCTATGAAAATAAGAGATTAAATAGAAAATCTAGTGTTAAATTGCGTTAAAAATCGTCACGTCAAGTAAGTGGTAAAAAATATTTTCCGATTTTTAAATACGAAGAGAACGAAAGAGGTCAGGAAAAAAATAGTTTTAAAACGTATTCACGTGAGAGTGCCAGGTGCTATTCATCGGGTGCAACGTTGCAAATTTATCGTTTAGTTTCGTTGTCTTGAAAATGTAAAAAAAACGAAGTGATAAGTGATAAGTAAAAATAGTAAATCGTTGATCAAAACAATATTTTTATCAAAACAAAAGGATAATTACGTAGGTCAAGTTTCCCTTCATACACCAAAAACCAATGACAAATCTTAAGGTTGAGACATCTGTACCAAGAGGCGAAATGTGTAAATAGTGACGGCACAAATCAATCATTGAAAAGTGTTAGGTTAGGTTAACGTTTATAAACAGACATGTCACATTTCGAGTTCTCAAATAGTATTCTTTATCACAACATTATATTATACCTACATTTATACACGACCAAAAAATTAATAAATATTCTAACTGTATAATGTATATTGACGGAAACGACGACGTGGTTTGATTACGAAGTATGCTGTACTTATTGACGACGGAATAATAATTATATTATCATTACACGAGTATTATACGCACGTATAAACATTCGGGCACTTTTATTTCGGCGAGTAATTTAGAATGAAGGCACTTTTAAAAATGTAAATTCGTTTACAGAAAACATAATCGAGATATCATTACCCTATAGTTTCTATGTGGTATTAAGTGATTTAGTATTACTCGTATAAACAGATCCTACAAAATGCAAGTGTACTTACGTAAGTACACATGTATATTATTTTAAACGGTGACATGACGAAGTACGCGGTATTGCGGTGTTTGGGTAGTGTTCGGCGAGCTGGTTGATGAATTTTGTGTTTAAAAAAAAAATTCAACTTAAATCATTTTTTAAGAGTGGCAAAGTTTGAAATACCTTATAATTGATGAGGGTAGTACCTAAATATTTAACAATTAGCGGTCGCTTCTAAAATCGTCAAATTTGTCACGCCAAACGAACACACGTTAGAAGTACCTTTGTTTAATATAAATTTATGTTGTTCGGTCAGGTGGCTGTGGACGTACTCGAATGGTCGGGACTTGGTGAAGAGATCCGGTTCGCCATGGAGGGTCGGCTACTATACACGCAACCGTCTGACCACAATTGGCGGCGGGGCGGCAGGACTATCAAATTGATGCCGATAAATGCAATCATCGTGACGTTGGGAAAAGTGAGTTCATAATAATAATAAATTATACAATTATAATTGTATTGTCCGCTTCTCACATACTTACGCATGCATTCAGCATAAAATATGAGATATACGTAAATAATGTGTGGTTACGTTTCTTTATTGTGTTCAGCCTAATGACAATTACAACCCGGACGCGGACAACATCACGTTTCCCAGACAGAACGGTATCAAAGACGCTTCACTGGTGTTGCTCAAGGAGAAGAGCGGCAGGATAAGTTTGCTCCGGGTAAGTTACAAAAGAAGGGAAAACTTTCCGATTTTAGTTTGGCATTATAGTGATGTAGTAGTGTAGTAGATACTATATATACACGTCTAGTGACGCGCAGTCTCTCATATATGTCCTCAAGAAAGAGAAAGAGAGATAAGTTTCTCTCAGGAATTTTGCAGACCCGATTCACGTGTATAAATGTTACACGCGTTTATTGCAATGTCATGACATTATTTGTGAATTTTGATGATGTTTAAAAAAAATCTTGAAAATCTCGATTTACATTTCTGATACGTTTTATATCTACATATAAAAATAATAAAATTAATATGTGTGTATTTTAATTGATAAATATATTTAATTCAGGAGCCCATGTACTTGGACCGGTGCGTATTATGCTGTGAAAGCGACTGGGACGATTACTTTGAACTGCACGAAATCACTACCAAGGACACGTACATATTGAAAGTAAGTTTTCGGAAATTCATTACACATAATGTCCCACAATATTTAAACGTCCTACTCCGATATCGTGCGCATCAACATCTATATATAATACATTTGTAATGTTTCCTGAACTCAGATGTAATAATATATTCCTTTCAATAGAGGTATCCGGTCACTGTTAAAACGATAGAGAATAGAGTGCGAGTCACACTACTGCACAGTTAAAAAAATATTAATATTTATTTTTAACGAATTTATTATTATCCTTTTTTTGTTTTTTTGAATTATTAGTAACATTAGGTTAATACATTTCGTTCTCGATCCTCAAAGAGAGTGCAAAATAGTTTTGGTGTGAAATTAACGCAGAACCGCGTAAATTACATTTTTATCGTTTGGCCAACAAAACCAACCTGAACTAGATACCGCATATTAAACCAACAATAATTATTTTTTAGGGCCAGGATGGCGAGCAAACAAAAATGTGGTACAAACAGCTGCAATATCACTGTCAGACACTAGGATGCTGGAGGAAAAGACGAAATGCCCTGGCAAACATCATGATTAACAAAAACTGAACTAAGTCACCCGACCGCCAACGTACAAATTGCACTTATTCAGTGTTGTCGTTTTACGATTGTCTACATTAATATTATTATTAGAAGTAGAAGTAGTAATAGTAATATTACCAAAAATACGAATAGAAATCGACAGTCATTACTAATTATATGACGATTTATATTTTAACTTAATATATTATTTTAAATTATTAAATATAACTCGTATTTTTTATTTTATTATTTTAAACGCGATTGTTCTACGCAATCATGGAATTGGTTAACCAAATTATGAAATAAATGATATATATCGAAAAAAAATAATAATAAAAAAATATTTGTATAAACATTAACATAATCTTAAAATTCTAATGTCTCGATTAACATTATATGTTGTGTTAAGACATTAGAGAACTATCAAGTTGTGAAACTATAAACATATCGTATGTATATATTTATATATAGTTATTAATGATTAGGATAATGTTCCTTTTTGATTGTTTTTTCGACGTTATTTTTTTTTCTATTTTATCTGTTACATCAACTATTTTTGATGGACGCTATTTATTTATTTTTATTAAGTATTCTTTATGTTATTTAAACTACACATACGTATATTATATACAAATAGATACATAAAATACATATTATATATTATAAATACATAGAATTTTTAAATTGCTCTATTCCATAATATTCCATTGTAATTTTAAGTTTTTAACGATACTCTAATAATTAAAACATCCAAATATGTATTTCTACTAACTAAAAAGATTATTATAAAACTAAAATAACTTTAACCCTGGTTTAGACCTTAATCTAAGCACTTACTTTTTAATACTTGACTATATCGAGATTTTCGTTTTTGCAGAGCCATCGAAGTAAGTATCTATATTGTATTATTTTTTTAACTTTAAATCATTTGTACGATTAAGTCAAATATAAGTATGCACTTTGCACTTCAATATAAACATGCTAAGAAAAAATTAATAGAATAAGAATATTTTTTAATTATTTCTATAAATTTGAAAAGTTATAGTTAGGTGTTGAGTTATGTTTAGTAATATTCTAACGAAGATAATCAAGACTAACCAACACATAATTGTAATTTAATTCTTATATATTAAAATAACAGATTATATATTTTGGATCAAATCAGATATTTCACCCGTTTATTGATGATTTTATATCTCAGGATATTTGTTTATTCATTTTACAAAAAAATCTAGACAACATTTTTCAATATATTTTGTTTATGAAATTTAAATATTATTATGATTTCTTCACGTACCTCATACAATTAATTTTATGTCTATGCTCTTAAAGTTTAATCAATATTTATCAAAACATATATCCAACAAGTAATTCTCTATTTTTAAATTTAAAAAATATATTTATATTTGTTTAATTAATTTTACAAAATTTGTCCTGTAAGGACGTTTGACTTATTATGTGTTAATTTACTACGTCTTTATAATTTTGTATTTTATAATATTTTTCTATTTTTACAATCTTGTTTCTGTTATTTTTATGTGGTGATACTTTGGTAATTATGCGAGTATAATTTCAAAATTCAAATAAATGTAACTAGTAATCGCTTATAATAATGTAAATATAAATAAATAAAATAATAGTTGATTCAATTCTAGTTAATTTTACATACAAATTTAATACATTCCCTAATAATTTATAGTAATTTAAAAAAATATTTTGTTACAATAAAACTATAAATAAAATTTATTACCTATATTACTAATACTAATATTGTATTTAATCATAATTGTAATCTATGATGAGAAATATGTGTATGGACAATAATATGGTATTATATAAATTAACAACAAAATATTTAAAATCTTAATAGGTCATTATTTAAATATAAGAAAATGATACATAGAAATTAAATTAAAAAATACACAAAATAAATAAAATTTCATGAGACGTTAAACCTATGGATTTAATGCTTTTTAAACTTCTACTATTATGCTCTGTGCAAGTCAATACCCACTCGACTGACAAAAAACTGGTCGTCAAACATCCCCTCCTATAAATGTTATTGACTCTACGAGCGCTGGTGTCGAACATCGCGACCGTAAGAGGTGTATGCGTAGTAAGCATTAAGTTGTACAACGCATCGTTTTTACGATAGTGGACCATAGATATATAAAATACTTGATAACCATCTTAGAAAAAATTTTGAATTCGAAAAAATGATCAAAATTCTATTATCTAAGAGATGAATGTTTACATTTATAAACAAATAATTATATATCTATATCATAAGCATTACACTTATAAAGAATTATAAAAACAATTAATTTTTTTAATTTAAGTTTATTATCTAATATTTTTTAAACACTCATCTCTTTGATAAGAAAATGTTGACCATTTCGTTGATTTCATAATTTTTACATAGTAGGAATAGGCTCTCTAATATTTTCATATATCTATGTAGTAGAGTCAATAGATATACATGAAAATGAGTAAGCTTAACTCGAATATACCATATAGAAATTAAATAACAGTTACGCAGTGCACATGTTTACTTTGTGCGTAACATTGTCTCTAGTGTATTATATATGAACATTTGAGCAAAAGGATGTATAATGAGTAAAAATATTTTAAATTTTCAACATAGAATAATTATTATGTATAAATTTCTAACAGAATCTATATAGATAAACATTACACTTGTATTGATTCCTCAAGTTACTTTAAAGATACTACCTAATTTATAATTATTTATATCATTTTTCCAAATGTGATCGATTGGCCATTTGTAGTCATTTCTGTCTCGACGATTTCCGGACCTCTATAAATAAACTTATTGTAATCTTATATAGAACTATAAAATTATTTTTTTTTTACCTATGTGGGATTTTCGTTATTAATGAAAAAGTCACTTTATCGCCATTATCTACAAACAAACAAAATAACAATATATGTATTTTAGATATTTCAAATAGTTTAGCTCTAATTTATTACCATGTAAGACGAAGTATGTACTCATAAAAGTTATTAACGACTACATTCTAAACAATTTATGTAAATATTATATTATATTATAAAGCACAATATATTTGTTACTTGTGCGAGTAAATACTTTAAAGTACATGAAAATAAACTTATAAGGAAAATCACACTTTACAAGCTTAGTCGTGTTTCTAAATATAATTTACAAGCCTAAAATTATATCTGAAACTATGAATTAATTTTCAACAATTGTAATTATTTTCATGTAGTTATACTATTTTATGTATAGTTGCCGTTTACAGTTATACACTCCATCAATATATATATTCAATAATGCACAATAATACTTATAGCAATTTAAAATGTTCACTAAAGAATTAAGTCTCAGTAAAGTTATTTGTATAATTTAAATAATTAACTAGTCAAATATTTTTTCAAAAAAATTTTAAAAATAAATTTTGTTCGATTTTAAAATAAGTAGTGCATCACATAAGTATAATGTATATAAACATAACAGTAACAAACAATTTACTATATTAGAAATTATAATTATAAATTTAAAAGTTTCAACTTACTTTGTGCTAGTTAGAAAATCCAATTAAAATATGTTATGGAACATTTAGTAGTGCTAATAAACTGGGAATGCTTAATACCCCCTATCACTGCCTAAAGTCTAGTTACGTCTATGATTTAATGGTGTGTTTTCGTCTAAATCCAAACCAAAAGTTTAGAAGGCTATTGTTCACGTGACTAATGATAGACTGCCAAACTAGCTTCAAGCTAAACGTTATTCTCTCAGTAGATTATTCGTAATAAATACTACGTTACTGGTGGATATGTAGAATGATTGATATTCTTGAGACCGTTAACCGAGCTTAAGTACAATTTAATAATTATTGACGATTTCCAAGTTTTCATGAAGTAGGATAAACTCAAGTGATACGTCATTATTGTAAATAGATGCATCAAATATTTAACAATTAATTATAATATTATTGTTTTGATGACCACACTTATAACTACAGTTGGTTCGGCTTTAAGAGAGAAGATCGAGTATCTATTTAGAACATCATTATAATAATTATAAATACAAATACTTAAAACTTATAATTTATTTTATTAATACAAGAAAAATATGATTTTTCTTTCTTATTTATCTACACTAAATAATATATTTAATTGGTTTTTTTTTAAACGTATTTATTAATTATATAATTGCTATGTAATATATAAATATGCATAAAGAAATTATTAGATTTACTGATAAGTGATAATCTATATTTTATATTTACGATAATTCAAATTTTTACTAAAAAGAAAATTGCCCGTTTATTTAATATTTGAATCTAAATTTAAAATGAAAATAAAATTTTTTCCCCCAATAAATTTTAATTTAAAATAAATGACAAACTTTTTAATCGCCTGATCGCTTTATTTTCCTAAATACTCTATCACATATCAAAATATTTAGGTTATATTATATATTAAAACGTCACCTTATTAAAGAACATTATATGTTAAACATTGTAAACATAACCGATGCCTTATAAACTGTATTTTTTAAATGTTATAGAATTTTACTAAACCAAAACTTTGTTCGTACTAATCAATATTTCTTATAATGGTATTGTATAATGTATACGTATGAGTAATTACTGCGTAGGAATACTGTTTAGGTTATTTAGACTTATCTTATAGTACGTATAAGTAAAATTGCGTAGAAATTTTTGAATAACTTAAAACAAAGAAAATATTATGGAATGTTTGGATAAACAATTTTTATATTTGTTAATGAATCGATCTTAAGCAGTGACGTTGAAATTAGCTGTAAAAATGGGCCATTGACTTTCGAATATAAAAGATAATTTTAAAAAGTTCTATAGTCATAAACAATATTTTGAAGCTGAAATCGATTAATCTTTGATTCATTTTATTGTTTTGTCAGCTAATTCAACTTTATATTAAATAAAAATAACAACAATGAATTCTACAAGCATAGAATTTATTTCAAACTACATTTTGGATAAGTGTCTAGTTTAAAAGCTAAATTAAATATTTTTAAGTTCATTTTTGTAACTTCAGAACATATTTTTCGTACAGTTTAAAGTATACAATTGAACAAAATACTTGGGAGCATATCAATACCAAATATGTATTCATTGTCATCTAAATATTTTATTTACTAAAACGGCTTAAAACATTATTAACTTAATTTTAAAATATTACCTAAATATAATATTAAATAAACAATTAAAATTGTATTAATTTTACTCAAATTACTAAACGGGTTGTAGATAATTTCGTATCTAATACAAAATATTTGTTGTGACTAGTGACGAAAATACCAATAAAAGTAATAGAAAAAAATTGATTAAAACGAAAGAATTTATAGTGAAAAAATTCTTAAAACTTTTTACGAGTGATAGTTAATAATACGTGTCAGAAAAACCTAATATAAAATCATTAACTCATAAAATATGACAAGTACTGATAAAAAAATAAGAAAATCAAGTTTCAATACTTAATTTTTTTGGACCATTCAAAACATGCATCATTCTACTTTGACTACCAAAATAATACTATGCTCATAATGGAAAATAGGCATAATATACGAGTATATACAGTGTATCTGGAAAACATGACATTCTTAAACTTAATTTCAGTGTATAAAACAGTTACATTTTACAGTCTCCAGATACCCGCTATTTATACATGATAATTTAAATTCAAACTATAACGCAATAAAAAATAAATTGAGTATTGAATATAGGTATACAGTTTACCGTACATTGGACAGTAGGAGGTATCATGGTTGTGGACATTGTGCGATTTGGGTCATTAGTCACAGATCGTCTGAGCGACACCGCTCTTCTGTTTGACACTACACTACGACGGATAATCGGAACCGCAGACAGTGTATAAAGCACAGGGTTTACCGCCGCATTCAGAGGCAACACAAAAACAGCTACCCAAGCGAACACCTAAGAATTCAAAATTTATTATTTCAGCTGATTATGTGGATTAATGTGGATTTTGCGTCTTAAATATTTAGATAAAATAAAAATAAGTATTTAAATTAATGTTTAGATTATAAGCTGTGTAGTAATAGTAATTTATTTATTTATTAATATGCCAGAAGAATCAAGTACAGTGGTATTAGTATACACTAATTAATAACAACAAAAAAACTTACATAAAATTAATTAAAATTTAAAGAAAAACTATTATCAATTACAAATTTCTTAATATGCTTTCTTAAGACTAATGGATTATCTATGTTGAAAAAAAATTTATGAAATCGAGTTTTCAAAGCATTTAAGATTCAATAATAGGATATGGAAAACGTTGGAAATGAAACAATTAACTATTAAATTAAAGAGAGTTATTAAGATGGATTATTAAGTTCCGACCAAGGGAAAGTTCCGTTCAATAATACGAGTATATGTATAAAATAAACATTAAAAAAAAAGATCTTACCACTACGATATTTAAGTTAAAATTTAACTATTAAAAGTTGAGTTGTGATTGACTAATATTTTTTAACATTATTATTTTATAAAATAAATAATGCGTGAACCTTCTTAATTTTCATTCTAAAGATTCAATTAAGTCAATCTGTGAAGGATTTTAAAAAGGTAATAATATTCTAAAGTAGATCTAACCCGGGTACAATATAATATTTTTAGACAAAGTGAATTATTGAATTACTGAGTATTATGTATAATAAACGCCGGAAATTTTAATGTTTTAGCTCTTATGTGATCAAGGTGAAACAAAAACGATAAATTTGACTGCATAACAATTCCAAAATCACTGACCAAAGACTGTTCATGTAGTGGAACACTTAAGACTTTATAAATACAAAATGTAACAGAAACTCTGATAAAAAAAAATTAAAAATTACTGCAAGTTGTTTAATGTATGAAAAAAATTATGAAAATTAATGGATAATAAAATAATTTAAAATTTACTCATACCTAAAAATTTTTTTAAAAAAAATACTACATTTCAAACCAATTTATTCAACAAAAAAACATTAATATTTAAAGAAATTATAAAAAATAAACTACTTGATCTAAATAGACGTTTATGCAATTCATTTTTTTCTAAAAATTAATTTACCAAGTTGGTTATTTTGTAATTTTCTCAAAAAATGTAATCAAATTTAAAATTTTATATTTTTTATTTTCAGTGTCTTCTTAAATTTTTTAACTCTCAGCTAGTGATGTTATAATGGTATATTATATTAAGCTATACCAAAAGCCAAAGACTTTAGTGGTTAGGTCATGTAGAAATATGAAAAGCATATACCATTAGTGTAAGAACAGCGTTTGATAGCAATTGACGGGAAAAAGACCCAAAGAAAGACCAAAGCAAATTGATAAATGAGATAAGGAATAATCTGGGACCATTGTAAGTGACAAATTAGAAAAAAAATTCAGAATTAAGATGATTGGAAAACAGTGACAGAAGTAAACGAAATTCTTACATTATTTTGAAGCTAAAAAAGATGTATAAAGTATCTACAGTCATCGCATATTTTGATACGATTAACAAATTTACTTAGTTAGCCGTGTTGTATATTTTTACTTGTGGAGGCACGGTGAATCCAGCCAAAGACCATAATCCTAACCCTATGATGGGCACCCAACATGCGGCGTCCGTAGCCACCAATAGACTCATCCGCCAAGCCATTGCAGACTCACTGAGCGACCGGTGTCGGATTAGGGTTTCTGTGGCACGATGAGTCATCTTAGCAACGAAAAACATCCAAAGGTAGCTTCCAGATATCAACAACAGCGAACCCAGATTAACAACTTAAACACAATTATTGAATTTGTACATGAAAACAACTACATAAATTAATGTGTACAGCAGTAGTAAAAACAATTAAAAAATAATTAAATAAATAAAAGTGACGTTTACATAGAAATATGAATACAGAATACTCCCAACCGTTGGGCTTGTCTGGAGTAATGTGCAAAGCTAAACACACACCAGACCGTCCGTAAAAATTTCTGAAAAATTAATAAATAAACCATATAGGTATATTTTATCAAACATAAAAATAATAGTATAATAAAAATATTGCATAATTTGTTTTGGTAAAATAAAATTACTACGATTTTCTTAATATGTTTACCTGAAGTAATGAATGTTGAATAGTGGAATAGCAGATATAATTATTGCTAGTAACCAACACACAGCCATTAGTATACGTGTAAAATCCATTTCCAAGCGTCGGACTTTGAACGGAAATATGATTACCAATAACCTTTCCAGAGTGATCACTATATATTTTTAATGAATTATAAATAAATCAAATTATGTATATCTTAATTATAAATAATACCCAAATCTTATTGTATCAATAATCAATTAATAATATTATATAATACAGTTGTTTATAGATTCTGTTGCTTATTTTTCATTTCACGCTGACAACGAAAGGTGTAACCATAAACTTCATTCGAAGTTTAAACACGATAACAATGATACCATTTTTTTTCGTATTTCAATCTATCAGAAAATATTTTATTCAACATCGTTTGTACTTGCCACCGATTAAATAATTATTTATTCATTACATTTAACTTATTATTTTATTTGCTAAATATTATAAGTATGTATTAAATTGTTTTTAATTCTCTGAACAATTAAATATGTATTTATTAAATTTTGAGTAATATTTGTTATAATTTGTAACTATCATGTTTTCGATATTATTTTTATATAATTAAAAATACATGGGCATTATAAGTATACTCTGTACAGATAATTTAAATTTTTTAAGTGCAGTTAATGCTAATTTTAATATTTTTCAGAAAATTAAATTAATTAGGAACGTTTTTAATTAAAAATTATCAAATACATACTCTTTAAATATCGAGCTTAAAGCATTTTAATGTGAAATGGTTCAAATTATATCGTCATTGAAAAGTATATATATTTTAATGCAAATCCGATACTTTACTTGTGTTATAATTTATACAATTTATCATAAACAGTTCAATACATGTTTTTTTATACTAAAATTTGAACAAAATGTAATCAATGTATAATTTAAAAAATTACGTTATTGATAAAATTTATTTTATATGATTACCAAGAATATAATTATGAAATGTTATTTCTTGTATATATATATTGAATGGACAGTAGACATAAACAACAGGAACAGTTAAGTATAGTTATATAGATAATTACAGATAGATAGTAACGTAAATTGTTTTGTCGAAAAATAAAGAGCATCGTCTAAAAAAAATATAAACTGAGTTTTTTTGACCATATTTAATTTTCAAGAAGTTGTTATGGTTGTTGCAAATGCGGTAACCAATGTAATATTTATCCTTAGCAATTATTATTACATATCCCTACCCTAATATTTTAAAAGCTTTACATGAATATTAGTTTCATATTTAATATTACATTTACAAAATATTTTTATGTACAGTTCGAGAGCAGGTTTGCAAAACACCATAACTAAGCATATATTTTTAAGTCTACTGGGATACAAATTGTAATACAAATAATATGGATTAAAGTATTTTTTAATTCTAAAAGTCTTTTAAATGGTAAAGTGCAGAAAAACAAAAACTGAACAATGTATTTTTATATTTCTTATTGTGTGCAATATACAACAATAAAAAATTGTTCATTGTTTGCTATCTTTAAATAATTATCCAGCTACAAAATATGAAATTAAGAACTATAAATGAGATTATTTTTAAAAATAAAGATTATATTTAATTTTCTCGTATGGTCATCATAACTTCCAACACACAAATTAATTCATTTTTATTTTTAAGTGTTATTGTAGATCGTTTTTATTATTCATATGATTTACATTTAAATTATTTAAATTGTAACCATTTCAAAAATAAACTACTAAATCCCTTACCTATTAAATTTATTTTTAAACGATGACTTGGCTTACTCAAGTAATTTTAATATTTTATTGATGTCAAACCATAGACACAACAACACAAGATATGTGTATGTTCAAAACAAACGATTGACTATATAACAACGCTGAAATTTGGACTGATTTAATTTTAATTTTATTATATTTATACGTATAAACTATAAATAAACACCTATAAGGTTCAAGTACAGTATAAGAATTAAAGTTGTAGGTAAAAATACATATAAGTAAAAATTTAAGTTTGAGACTTAAGAAATACTAAATAATTTACAAAAAACTTATACTTAACCTTATACAGTAAAATGGTGCATGTAATTATTAAAATATTATATGCTACTTTTATAATCTGATTTCATCCAAAATAGCATTGATACACCAAGCTTTCTTAATTTAATTGACCAAGATGGATTGAATATATGTAATACGTATGTATTTCCTGATATATTTTTAATTTGTGACTTATATTACTATTTTAATTTTTATGATATATCTTAAAAATCGGTCAAGTAATTTTAGATTCTATAAACTACAAGCACTTAACTACTATTTTTGAATAACAAATAATAAACTAATTATTTTTCCATTTTATTTTTAACGAAATTCCATAGCAACGTTCAGTTAGTTCACTTTTTTAAATTTCTTTTCTGCAACCCTACATATAAATAAACTCATAAAGTCATAACGATATTCGTGTATGACTACGTAAGCCACTACATAACAACCTATAGGACTCGAAAAATAAGCTAAAACACCCCGTGAGTTTCAATGAATCTATTGATATAACATTTACTGAAATCGATCCATTTAGCTCATACCAGTTAAGATAAGCGCGTTCAAATAAGCAAACTTTTCAAATTTATAATATTAGTATTGATAATTAATATGTGTGAAATTATGCGCTTACCGGTCAACGTGAACACAGAAAGCTCGCTGGAAAATGTGCTTATAAAACCAGCCACGTTGCACATGGAACTTTGTCGCCAGTCCGAGTCATGGATGAAGTACACGCCACGATAGTACCAGTCAACAACAGCTATCACCAGCAGATATGAACCCATCAGGAAGTCTCCTAACGCCAAGTTTACAATGAGGAACGAGTGTACCTGGTTGGTGTGCTTATATTTGGCCCGGAACACAATCACTAACAAATTAGCAGTGATCGCAACTACAGCTAATATCCAAATGCATACTCGCAATACGATGTTGGACATCAGGTCTTCGCACGAGCTAAATTCATCAGGCAGCGGTTCGCATTGTTTTACGTACCGGGCCAAGCAACAGAAACGAAACTCGTCGGTAAACCTACACACGCATCATAAACTATATATATATATATGTGTGTGTATTACAAGTTCTAAAACGACGTAACTGAATAAGTTAATATATATATACTCGTAAATTATTCATTAGGGCAGTTTTTAAGTTTGATATTATTCCTATAAACTAATATAATTATATTCGAAGCAAAATATTGTAAATGAAAATCATTTAAAAAAATCATTTTACACTTAACAATGAATTCTTAAAAGTTGTGTCTTTATAAATTAAATGTATATTTAATATTTTCTAGAATGTTTAGAGATATGGCCTTATTACTTTATATATTTTGTAATTTTATCGATACTAAATTTAATATAATTATGTAAATTCATTATAAACATTATTAAACACTATATTTTAACACACATTATGATAAAATATTTATTTAATTAAAATTTTAGAAATATATTCAACTATTTGTTAAGCACTTAGTATTTATATTTTACAACAAGGCCGATCTTAGAAATATTATAGGTACTTAATAATGGCTTTTTTTCAATATATGTGTCGATATATCTTTATATCTTTGCAAATACTCTTCAATTTTTGTCTTGGTATACAAGTTTGATAATTTATTTTATAATTATTAAAATATAAACAAAAAATAGACACTATAAAATAAAGAAAAAAAAATAAAGAAAAAAAAAATTTAGAGATATTAATACTTTAAAATTTTAACTATTCAAGTTATGATACTTAAACACTGATAGTGCGATGTACATGAAACTCATATTAAATTACTCGTATAATATAAAATCCTCAAAGTAATAATAATGAGGATATATATATTTTTATTCTGAATTTTAATTTATATATAAGCTTATCATTTTGCACATTTGTTAAGTAACTAAGACTTGACGCGAATAATGTTTTCCCAAAAACTATTACACTTTTACGTTATCACATTATTTTAATCAATAATTGCGTAATTCCGATAATAATGTAACAGCGTTGTACGCTTCCAATTTCGTTATACTTTTATGATTCTTCTATTTTATTAAATAGAATTTTGTATTTAAGTTAATAAGCTGTTCGTTTATGGTCTTATAAATAATTTTTATTTTATTACTATTATTATTACTAGTATTGTCATCAGTTTATTCCTATTATTAAACAACATTATACAGCAACGTGGCTTTAATGACTCACAGTGTTTCGAGTAATGGCATAGTGAAAAAAACATTCTTGTCTATGACTCTCAATTGATTATTCTTAAGGTTTCTGTACAAAAAATATATTAGCTTTTTTTTAAGAATTAAGTTTTACGCTGAAAATATAAAGTTTAGTAGCACATAATATTATACTTACAGAAATACAACTTGAGGCATCCCACGAAACGTGCCATCTCGTATATGAGTAAGTGAGTTATCTGATAGGTCTCTAAAATAACGAATTACTGGTAAATATACTGAAAAAAACAATGAATTTTGATACTAACAAACTTTTTAACGATCTAAGACCAACAAAGGCTTCCGATTCTATATCTGTAATGTTCTGATTGCTCAAGTCACTATATTAAATCAAACACTACATTAACTTTAAAATGGACTTCTGATAGATAGTAGATACTTACAGCGTAATTAAAGAAGACAACCCTTGAAATGCCATTGAGCTCAACTTGTAAATATTGTTTCCTTGTAAGTGTCTAAAAACAAATGGTACCCAGATATTTTATATTAAAACCAGTAAAACCTTTAGCTGTTTACGAAACATCTCTCAAATATTAACGATAGTCACATTCTCGATAACGCTTTTATTTTCCTTGGGTATCTCTGTATTATAAAGTTCGGTCATTACTATTTACAGGTTATTTAACTTTTAGTGTTTTAAAAATAACTTTAAGGTAAATATAATACTTAATATGTGTAATACAATTATTACACAATTCTCTAACCACATAAACCATAATTAATAAATAGAACTTGAACAGTTTTATTTTGTTTAAAATAAACTTTAAGTACTTAATTTTAATTATTTTAATGATAGTTAGAACATTAAACTTAATATAAAGTTATGAGTAATATTATTCATTTTAAGTTTGGTAATTATTATAACTGTATAAAACGGGTTAAGCAAATATTAGTTTTCGTCTATTTTCTGGGTTAGCAAGGCTGGAAAATCCAACAATATTTTATCAAAATTCTCTAATAAATAATTAATTAATCTTACAATCCCGTTAGTTGACCGAGTCCCATAAATGAACAATTTCGCAAAATTGTTATTTGGTTATTTTGTAAGTTTAATGTTTTCAAACGCCAAAGCGTAGAAAACAAAAATGGCTGCAAATGTTTTATTGAGTTATTCATCAGGTCTCTGTAAAATTAAAATATATGATTGCGTTATATTAGAATATTTCTATACATAAAATTGACAATCACTTACAAATAAACCAAGCGATCCAAATGTTGAAAAGTATTTTCATGAAGGCCTTCGGAAAAATTATTACCACCCAAATGGCTACAAAAATATTGAATGAGATTATATTTTTTTATTTTCCTTTAACCTTTTACTTTTTAATATTTTATCGAATAAATACTTACAAGAAGGTGATTTCTTTTTCGACGTCGTACGGAAACTGGTCAAGACCGTGACCAGTACAATTTATATGGACATCTTGGCACTGGCAGCTAGATGCTAAATTCGAACACATGAAATCTGAAATTCATTGTTATGAGGAATACAATGTGTTTTCTATCCAATACATATTGCAAATCTACATCAAGATCTTACAACAATTATTGTCTTCATCGTCCCAAGTCAAATCACAATCTAATTGCCCATCGCACACCATAGATTGATGTATACAAGGCCCTCGATAACATTTAAATTCATTTTCAGCGCATTTAAAATCGACTAAAACCGTACAAACCAAAATCAATCTTTTTTTTACATGATAATGAAATCTATACACTATTCTATCTAAAAAAACTTAAAATTCAAATAATCAAAATGTATTAAGTAAAATTTGAATATCTATCTCTACTGACTTTAAGTTATTGAGATTCTTCTGCAAAAATGAATTAATCTTTTCTGTCGTTAGAAATACTTGGGTAATCAAATTCACTTAATTATAAAATAAACATTTGAATAAAATACTCATAATAATATTCCAAACGAGTGGTTTATAGGTATGTGTTATATATTTAATAAAGACTCATGGTATTTTTTCAGTATTTTCCATTAAGGAATAAAATAAATAAATAAATAAATAACAGTTATACAAAAAAAAAAAACTTAATTAGACCAAAATTAACTAATACATACATTTTTGATGGCAAAAAACTACTTAAAGCTAATTATTTAAGAAAATATTTGTACAGTATGTATTGTTAATGGCTTAGTTGTTAAGACCGAATTTATTTCAGATCAATAAAAAAACTCTGAACAATAACAAAAAAAAATTTATACTTCAACTTAAATGAATATTTGTCTCACAACAATTTACTTATTTAAAAACTCTAAATTTTAGACCAAAACATAATTACTGTGGTTACGTCATTTTTAAACATACATGATACAAGAAATATAAATGTTTAAATTTAACATACCACAATTTCTTAGGTGTGATTTGTCTACACAACCTATTAGTTCTTCTCGATATTTTTTACATTTATACTCTAACGGAATACATTGACCGCTATCACATTGAAACTCGTCAATTTTGCATGATCTATAATCTATAATAAAAAAGGATTTTTTTTATTTTTTTTTTTAATCATAAATTCTATGTATAGTAGTATGTATTTGTATGTTCACAACACTTTTCAGCAGGAAGATTAAAAAATTTTAAAGGAGAATATTCACCTCAAGCTCATTTTTTTCCTGCGTAACACATAACAATAATTTTCAAAAATTATAATGTATGTTCACAACATTTTTCCAAAAAAAGTTTAATACCATGTTACACAAAATCAAAATAATTCTAAATTACATCTTCACACAAATTTTTTTTTTTTTAAAGAAAAAATATTTTTTTCGAGTTATAAAAGGATACGGTTTGATGAAAAAAGAAATATATTAATATCTATTGATTTATTTATCGTTTTAAAATTATTAATTCAAAAAACATTTAACACGAGTTTTTTTTTCCTAGTGAAAGGGGCGTATTCTACAATACAATCATGAATTAATAAATAACAAGCAATTATATCTGTAAGAGGTTTTGACGCTTACATTTCTAATTGCACATCACTAATGAAGCTGTAGCTGAATCATTCTGTTTTGAAGTATTGATAACTAAAAGTTTTTAAACTTTTTTAGATAGCTTATCCATATGATAATTTAAATTTAGATTTTTACTAAAAATAATTTTATTTTATTATATGATATATAAACAAATAACTAATTAATAATTATAATATAATGTGAATTTTTTATTTTTTTTTTTTTCAAAAAAAAAGTATATAATCTATTTTGTATGTATTAAAATAAGCATAAGAGGTATTTTTAAATATTACTTGTTGACATAGGAAAAGAAACCATCAAATGATGGCAATTTGAATTTTATTTAATTAAAATAAAACGACTACTATTTATATGGAGAAGAGCACATATTTGTTTATTCGCCCAGGGCGCCAATGACTCTACTGCCAGCACTGGGTATAGTAACTGCTTATATTGTCTAATAATTCATGATCGTATTTTAAAAATATATACATTTTACTAGAAATTTAATAAAACTTGCGTAAAATCTTTTTTTTAACTAATTTTAAAATATTAAATATTAAATAAATCAATAGATATTAATATTTTTTTTTTTATTTATTTAATCAAACCGTAGATATACTTTTATGACTCAAAAAAAAATATATTTTTTTTTTTAAATAAAAAAAGTTTTGTATGGAGATGTAATTTCAGAATTATTATGATTTTGTATTACACGGGATTAAACTTTTTTAGAAAAATGTTGCCAACATACATTAAGGTTTTTGAAAATTACTGCTTTTGTGTTATGCGAGAAAAAAGTGGACTTGAGGGGAAAATTTCTATTTAAACTGCTGAAAAGTAAGTGCTATGAATATACAAATAAATACTACTATGTATGTTATATATAAAATAAACACATAAAGTATCCAAAAGTGTCTATAAGAAATAACAATAATGGAATCTGTCTAAACAATTTTTGAATTTTCAATAAAACTTTTTAAATTGTATAATATGTGTATAATTTAATTATAAAATATTAATTTTAATCGACTGAAAAACATCATACTACAAAAAACAATAAATAATAATGAGTAAATATAACAAAAATATATACAATTTTAATTGAAAAAGTGAACAACTTAATGATACATAAATTAAATTATATTAACGTTTCAATCTTTTTTTCCAAACAATTTAATGAAAATTAAACTTTAATAAATATATAACATTATCACATAATTAAGTAAGAATTATTCATTAGCGATTATCAATTACACCATATTGATACACAATATTGGGTTTACTAACTTTTTCAATATTTTTTGAGTAAATTTTTGTTTAAAATCAATACTCACCGCAATTTTTCTCGTCAGAACCGTCCATACAGTCAACTCTATAATCACACCATTTTTCCATTGGCACACACTGTTTACCGATCTCGCATCTCAACCAATTTTCGCTTGGACATGGCACAGCAGCTAAAATAAACAATGATTAATACACTATGATAATTACAAAAACTATGTGTATATTTAATCTGATGATTAATGCATTATTATAAAAGACACTCTGTTAAAATGTAATTATAACAAAGCTAGGTATTAACTAGTTACTTTTAAAGTAACTTTCTAACTAAACGAGTTGAATTTAATTCAACCTAATTCGGTTAAACAAATAAAATAATCTTATCTAGTTAAATAAAAATAAAAATTAACTTGTTGTTTTTTTTCACATCAAAAATCCCAATATTTTATAAGTTTATGTAAAACGTGAAATTGCTAATTAAGATAGACATTTCAGAAGATAACTTATATTTTAATTTAATTAGTTTTTATGTTTAACTAACTTTACTTTAACTATAGTTAAAAAAAAATCGAACTTACTTAACTTTGAATTACAAGCAATAATTAATAATAAGTTCATATAATAAATGTATTTATATTCCTATAAAATATATACTCATTACTCAAATATGTAAGGTGGTTGCAAACAGGTAAAGTATTTTATAATTTATAACTCTGTGCCCAGCATTGCTTACCACATCCAATTTCGTCACTCTTATCCCAACAGTCGGTACGGCCGTCGCAGCGATTCTCAAATTTTACACATTCACCACTAACACATCGGAACTGATCTTTATCACAAGATAACGAAACTTCGCAATCCATTTCATCATCACCATCTAAGCATTCTGCTTTAAAGTTACAACGATGTTTAAATGGCAACCATCTACCATCCTTACACTTAAAAAATTCATCATTTAAAAGCGAATTTGGCTTATCTGTAAAAAATTGATAAGTTATTTTTATTTTTCATCAATTTTATTTTGATAACGATAGACTTCAGAGACTTAAATATTTTAAATAATACAATTAAATTATAAAATGTATAAATTCAATACAACGTAAAAAATAAATACATTTTTCATACCAAAAAACAAACTTGTTACTTTACCTTTGTATTTTTTTTTTTTATATTTAGGCTTTACCCGTTTAAAACTTAAATAAATAAACATATACAAATATTATAAAAATTAAATACGTTCAATTTATAGATTTTTTTCGATAAATCATTACGATGGTCAATAAACAGAGGAAGGATAAATGGCTGATGTGTAGATTAAATGATTAAACGACTAACCTTTAGTAAATCAAAGTGGAAAAAAACATGAAAATAACTATCAATCCATATATGATATGTATTAATATTTTATTTTTATTTTATCTCTTGTTCAACGTACAACGCTAATATAGATTAATTGTCAATCAGTTTAATTTATTGTTTACAAACCAACCCCCAAAAATACATTGATAAATCGTGTTAAATAATTTATTGTGTCGATAGCAGTAGGTAACAAGTAACTAGTAAGTATATCAAAATAAAATCTTTCTCTTTAGATTTCTTTTCAAAGTATTTAAATATGCCTATTATATGCATGCAAAATAAATAAATATTCAATGATTTAATTTGTGATGTATACGTATGCTTAATATAGGTCGTGAAAACACCAAAATATAATAATAAATTTGATTAGATTATAATATTTTAGTATTGTTTATACAAGGATATTAACCGAGTATATTTTTAATTTATAAATTAATCTTTTTCAATAAATATCGTACATTGGATATACATTTACCAAGTATTTATAAATTAATAATACTCGGTATATAGGGCCTGTCTTACTATATAAAATATACACGGTACCTACAGTATGTGAATTTATTTAATGTAATAAAGGTATAATTTAAATTATTAAAATAAATTTTAAATATATTTCTTTATAATAAAAATATATTAAAATGCCTAATGATTTAGAACTAAGTATAAAGTAGCTATTAGTCTACTTGTGCATAACGTATACCATTATAACTACTACTCTAAGATTAAAATTCCTAATACTTACAATAAAAAACTTGGATAGTTATTGGAATATATTACTTTCTACTTAAGAACATCGTATGTATTGTATAATAATTAATTTATTTACCCTCGTTAAGAACAACAATGCTGTTGTGGTAGCACAATTTTTTGTATTACGTTAACTTATAATTTACAATAAATCATTTTGTCAGTGCTTTATAATATAATTTTTGAGAGTTAGGAATACAATACCGTTTTTTTTTTTTTAAAGATCATCAGTCATGTGCGGAAGCTTGATAATACAAACTTTTATTTAATATTAATCTATACTAAATACATTTTTTCGTTTTATTTATTTATTTATTTTTTTTGTGAGAAAGTGTAGGTATTCATTAATTTAAGCTAGTTCATTAAATTAAAAACATTTTTTTTTTTTTTGCATTAAAGCTAAGCTAAACACGGATTATCTTGAATTCGTGATATTATTAAACACAGGCAAGAAATTCAGTAGGTATTCTGTTTTATTGAGCTGAAAATTTTAGTAAACATGCCACCGATTAGTATCAGTTTTACTAGTGCAATAGCAACAACCAGAAAATAATTTCGATTCAACGCGATCACCCATTATAATTAATTCATTTTATAATGTAATACATTTTATTTACATACTAATTTTCGATTTTTTCGTTCCAGAAAATAATTTAATATTGAAATTTGAGACGGAATAGTATGAATTTAATCAAAGCTATAGTCACTCGACTTCTTATATTCAACATATATATTTTTGAATGTAGTTATATGTTTTAAAATGTTTGTATTTACTTAAATAAATATATAATTCCTAAGAGCATTACATTTTAAACCTAGCCTGAATTTAATTCAAATTAAATAAGAAATAGATATATTATGGTGACAATACTTAATTTTCATTCTAATTCATATCATAACCACAAGTAATCTGCAGTAATCGCTAATTATATGTATTCTTATAGCGTATTAGTTTTCAAAGTTTTTATAATGTATATTTAAATTATTATATTTGATCAATACATATATAAAAAAATACTGACGAATTATAGCGATATATATATTTACATGATATTATATAAGTTTTATGTAATTTTTTAATATAAATTATTATCAACATAATATTATTATGTTTAATTTTTATCACGAATCTATAGATTTGTATGATTAATGTAAAATAGTTTACAATTTTAAATATTTTAGAAAGAAAATAATATGCTGTTACTTAATTAATATAAAACATTAAAATATATATTATGTATATATTTTTTTTTTTTGAACAATTGTTTGTTTCTCAATTAATAAAAATCACTCATCGCCCTAGATGGTGTTTTAACGCGTCGTTTAACCACTCCAGGGCTATATTTAGTACAGCTATCTAATGACCAAAAATATTTATTACAAGGGACAAGTCATAACTAATAAGTTATTAGTCTTGACTAATATATCACTATAGAACTGAGATTTGCTAAAATCCGACTCAACGAAAGTGTCGTAACCACCGACTTAATAGTCAACGAATAAAAAAACTAACCCCAGACTCGTCCACTCGCTACATCTAATTCTGTGAAATCCAGACAAAAATCGACTCAATTAACACCCTTTCAATACGCCCGTACCTATAACTATCACATTAATCATAGATCAGACAAGATATAAAAATATTTTGTCTCTAATTTTAAAGTAAATTCTATAAAAATTCTTGTTAAAAAATATTTTCTTTTACCAAGTCGGCATTCTGATTGATGAACACTTTATCTGTAAATGCATTATTGTTAATATATATTTAAAATTTAAATTGACTTACATAGAACTTATAAATAAAATCGTGATAACAATAAGAATTAAAATTATTCAGAGTAACACAGCACTTTATTCAATTGGTCTTTATTTCCATTTAATACCTTTTTATTATTATTATTATTATTATCCTTTCTTCCTATATATTATAATGTATTATGTCTCACGATACTATATTAGTATATACATCTTGACTCTTTTTCTCCTGTTATAATACGCTAAATATTTAAATCACTGTATTGATCTATCAACAATGTAAAACAGCAAAGTACGACGTAAAATCAAAATTTCTTTCAAAATAATTATCATTTAAAATCTTTAATACAATTTAATTTACACAAAAAATAAAAGAAAATCAGATGATATACGTAATAAAAAAATCATTTTAAATAACTCGAACTATAATAAAAACTGTTTATGGGATAAGTATAATATAAAATTCTGAATGAAGCAAAAGTATACTTATTTTGAAATAAGACAGCATTCTTTTCAAAACATCACTTTTAAAATTTCTCTGAAGTTGTATTAAGAATTGAAAATATAACATTTTTTTCACAGAAATTCTTAATAATTTTTATGATTTAAAATATACACTGTTTATTTACTATAGTATTAAATAAAATTTTAAAATTCATAATTTTATATTTATTATCTCTGAATTTTTTTAAGGAGATGATCACAAATATTATAATATAATTATAAGCTTAAATTAGCTTAAAATGTATAAAATTTAGCTATTTAATATTTTTATAAACTTTTAAATTATGAATAAATGTATTAATAATTCAACAATTATTGCAGTATTAATAAAAGAAGTTATATAAAACCATTTTTAAATACTTTTTTTAAACATTTTTAATGAAAAATTAAAAACAATTTAAATTACTTTTCAAAAGAATTTACTAGTGCTCCCATTTCGGTATACCATTATCGATATTTAGTAGTTGCATTGAAATTACGAAATTATATAAAAAACCAATTATTTTCATGAAAGAATCTTACAAAAAACTTCCTTATTACAGACATGCAGTATATTTTTACATAATTTTTTATACTTTTTAGCAAATTAATAAAATAAAAACATTATTCTATTATAATGCATGGATAAATATGACGACGATTTTTAAGTTAATTTCTTCATTAAACTTTGTTTTTAGTGAAAATAAAAAGTATACTCTTATTTATATAATTTATGATAACATTTTATACTTTAATACAATACCTACTACAATGAATATTGATTTTTTTTTTTTTTAAGTCATATTAGGTTCATTAGGATAATAAAATAAATTTCAAGTTTAATATTAGGTTATAATAATTAAAACTTCGATGAGTTATAAGATTAATTCTTGAAGTATAGTCTTTCAATAAGAAGAAATAAAGTAATTTATTATAGTTCTTAAATTATTCTATACATTTAAATTATTTTAAATTTTTATTTATAAAGTATGCATATTTAAAATTATGCATCAATTAAATAAGCTAATGCACAATAAATAAGTATGTTAATAACTAATCTAAAATGAAAATCGTAAATATTGATGTATTATACGACCTGAGGCGAACTGGCCCAGGGTGCTGTATACCTAGTAGCACTCCAAGTCCCCATTCGTATTTATGATCTGGGCTACCAATTACCACTGTCGGCCCCTTTTTTAATTTAATTCTATTGTAATGTAAAACAGAAAGATAAATTATAATAGAAATCAACAATACTGTTGTTTTTAAATATATAATATTACATCGTATCACTCGTGTCTGAGTAATTAAAAAAATATAGGTAAAATAACTGCATAAAAGTAAAAATGTTATTGAATCACGGTTACAATAATATACTCTGTAGATAACCATGCATTAAATTTTGATATTATTATAGTTCTACTACCGTTAATTGCTATGATTGTAATCAATACAATTTTTGGTTTATTTATATTTTAATTAATAAAGTATTGATAAATAAATTAATAAATTGAGTTATGTGAGTGTATGTATAGAAGAAATTTTTTCTTATTCATAACATAATATATTATCTAAGTACTTACTTGTTATATCGGCTTTAAAACTTTATAATTTTAAGAATAATTGGGTATTTAATAAAATACACGTGTTCCTTTGAATGAGTTGAAATCAAAAATTTTTAAAAATGTACTTACTTTAAACTATCTACACTTATAAATAGTTACTATAATAACTATATTTTATCATATCTGCATTATACTCCCAAAAACTAACATGTTATTCTTAATTTTTTTTATATATTAACTTATCTGGACTCTTTTTCTAATTTAGGTAAGTTTGAAAAAAATTTACAAGCCCTTAATTACTATTCCGTCCGGGTCAAAAAATAGCCATTCTGTCCCTGTCCATGACACTTCCGGGCTCAAGAAAATCATTGCAAAAAAATAATTCATTACTATAATTACTATAATTATATTAGCAGCAGCTCTTTTAAGTTAAATATCATCAATCATCACTCACCGCAGCCGAATTCATCTGAAATGGAAAATCCATTAAAGCAGTCATTTTGACCGTCACAAATGTATTTTTGACGTATGCAACGCGAAGGATTTCCTTCAGGCATCCAACAACTGAGCGTTGATCCTGTTGTGCACACAATTACATCTGAAAATCAAATACAATAATTCAAACTTGTAATTTGTTTTAAAAATTATTATCAAATCTACAGTAAATAATAAAGACAATTTAACGCGGTATATTTTATAAGTAGACGTAACACTGTTTCATTAAATTATATTTTGTTATATCATTCTAAAATTAGAACGGTTACAGTGATGGCTTTACGAAGAATCCCCAACCATAATTCTACTGTTAACACCATCAGAATTTACGTTTAGCCTGCAGCTTTTTTAAATTAAAATATAATTAAATATAAGCTATAAACACTTAAAATATACGTATACTTTTTGATAATTTTTTGGAAAAATTAAAAAGGAAAATTAATAGATTAGACTCAAAACTTTGAACTTACAGCATACACGTATTGTCTATCTCGAATTCATACAAGAAATTTACTTCTAATTTTTTTTTTTCTTCAAATCTAAACTTTTTTTACTAAAATTGAAGAATTTAATCTTTAAATAAATCAAAGTAATAATATACTTATAAGTACACTAATAAAAAAACATTTCTATGATATTCATAGGCGTTAACTATTATATTGACGTTATGTGCTTATTTTCAACCCTTCGTGGAGATATCAAAAATTAAAACATAGACAATACTATTTGGTAATCTTCGATCGAATTGACCGATCAACAACAATATCTGTTGCACATAAAATTTCGTAACTGAATACACTATCTGAATAATAAAAAAATATACAATACACACGAGAATTACGACATGTTTACCTACAGGCTACAGTAGTCAATTCAACCTTTGCAAATTAAATTTAACATATATTACTTAAACTGTCTTCCACTTGTGTCAGTACTATTGTACATTACAATGAGATTTAATTAAGTATTTGATTAATCGATAACCATACTCAAATAAAACTTAACGAGCATTACATTTAAAAAAATAAGCAATGCGCATACCATCGATTTTATTATAGAACGCTGTACAATTAATCTCGTCAGCACAGTTTCCATCGATACTTAGTAAGCAATCGCATTGTCCATCACATACATTAGCGTCGTTTATACATCTTCCGTTTGGACACTGAAATTGATTTTCTGAACACGTTATGTTACCTATTTAGACAGGCTAATATATCAATACGTCTAAATATATATCAGATAAATTTGATTAATTACATAATAATTCGTCAGCATGATTATCAATACATTCTGGCCATCCGTCACACCAAAACGTTGAGTGCACCAAATTACTACCACCGCACTTAATAAAATCGCCTGAAATTCATAAAAATACATTAATGATATCACTCACAAACATCAACAATAATTTGTTTTAATTCATAGTATTTGTAAAAATCTAAAGGACAAAAATATCTCATAATAATATAATATTATACTGTTGTCGCCCAATATGGAATATTATACATAAAGTTACACGACCACGTAAGTAATATCAAAATCTTAGAAAAATATATTTATATACATCACATTTTATAGTCACTCTCTCATATTATTAAAGCTAAAGCATTAAATCAATAAAACGATTTTTATATACACTAAATATTTTTTATTATATGGTCTAATCAGAAGAAACCATTATATTTTGTTAAATACATTAAAAAAATTAATTGGTTGGCTTTCAATAGAACCTTTAAACTACAAAATTAAGGAAAAACAATAACAATCAAATTAATTTTATTATGAATTGTATTCATTATACTATGTTAAAATTACTGTGAATATAAAACTTTAAAATAATAAACTTTAAGAGTAATATGAAAGTAATAATTTAATAAAACTAAATAACGAGTCGCTCAATTATATTCATATCACAATTTCAAGTGAAAATAATTTATAAGACAAATTGTATACATGATAATTATTATAAAAATATTTAATATTATTAATCAATTATTAAATTATAAGTTAAACTAAAGATTAGTATGAATAGGTTTGTGGTAGGTATAATAGATTAAAATTTATTTAAATATTAATTTTTGTTAAAATATCCAATTTTTCCAAAATTATGATTATGAATTTATCTTATTAAACTAAAAAAATGTATTAACATAAATCGAAAAGCAGTTCTAGTATTCTCAAATGACTATAATAAAAAGCACCAAAAATCCATATAATAATATACGTATATTTATCAAGTACTAATCTAAACATTAATAATAAATTAAAATTGCTAAGGTAATTCATTTTTTCCCTGATTAATTGAAAAGCACTAAGAAATAAAAATGATAACTCCTCAAAGTAAAAACTAAATCCGATTTTTCTACTATACACTACTCTCAATATTTAAAATAAAAGTACTTCAGTCTAAAGACACAAAAACACATATGATTGTAAATTTTTTACATTCAACGCACTACTCAGAATTTAAAATAATATTGTTAATTGTTACTAAATATAATAACATCATTAAATATTTATTTTTATAAAATCGAGTTGTTTAAAATCCTACCTTGTTTTTTTCGTAAGATTTAGAGTTTCTAATTTGTTAAAATATTTATTTCTTGTTTTCAACAACAAGATATATCCATAGTCGTATCCAGACTTCCTGAGTTGAATGGCAAGATTAATTGTCACACATCAAACCCACGCGTAGTTTCACCCATCACACACTCCGACCATTAACCAATTGCATTTGTAATACCAATTTTATAAAGGGAAAAAATTATTTTTTCTTTTGAGCTTTTAAGTTTGTGAAAAAACTCGTGAAAATTGTATCCATAGATAAATTGCTTATACTTGATATACTACATTATTTACTCAAAGCGTCAAAAACATTGTGGGATAAATGTTGTCATATAACTATGTAAGATGATAATGGTGTATTATTAGAAATTTGCATACAAAAACAACTTTTAACACCTTATAACTCAAAAAAAAAAAAAAAAAACTAAAAGTAGTTATAAACAAACCAATAATGTGGTAGTAAAATCAATGTAAGTATTACATGCTTTTTTACAGGATCAACAGAATCTAAAATAATTATTAATAAACACTGTCTTTTAAAAATGATTTAGAAAAAATGTAATTTAATATTAAATTACACATAAATATTAATACTTATTAAAAAGTTATATTATTTGTATTATTATGAACATTCATCTATATTAAGAAATTTTAAATTTATAAAAATATCAATAACTTATCAATATAAAAAAAAACGCACTATTGTTACCAACAGGGTTATTTTAATGTTGTGTGAAATTACTTGTTAGTGAAGGTAGGTCATGAAAATACTAAAAACTACCTATACAAAGATTGATATAAATAACTTTCTCGTGATTCTATAATACCACGATAATGTATGATGTATAAAAATAACTAGCTCCTAAAAATAAATATTTTGAAAATTAATTAAACAATTTAAGGAAAAATTAATTTTGATGAAAAACTTAATATTCTATTTATGTTTTATTAATTCATACCAAACTATTCATACAACAAACTAAATTATTAAACTTCAGTTCACCTTTTTTTTTTCCGTTACTTCAACATTATTATTACATACTTATTTATTTGATACTACATTTATATCATAACGTGTTACATAGCTACCGTATTATTTGACTATGTAATATTAGCTTATATATTTTGTTTACAATGATAAGGAAAAAAAATTAATTCAAATATAATTGAAGCTGAAATCATTTCCAGTAGTGCTAACACCCAGAGGCAAAGTTTTTCTCTCAAATTTCACTGTTAACATATATTTATTTCACAGAGTTCAACTATCACAAGTTCTCGGTTAAAATGTGTTACATCTAGTACAATAATAAACAAAGCTCGGGGCCGAAACTATAAGTGGTGGAAGTTAGAGTATTGTTTCACTCTGTTCGAATTGGTGATTATACGTGACCAGGTCTGTATGCGTAGTTTAAAAGTAAGCAGAGAAATACGTTTTTAAAGTAAATTTAATATGTTTAATCCTAACACGAAAATAGCTTAATATACAGAAGAATATCAAACTATTTCCACTTGTTTCATCCTCCATCAAAAGTAATACTACTGCACAAAATTACGTATTAGTAATAAAAAAAAACCATTGAAAATGCGAAATTGGAAACATTTTCTCAAGTAGTCTATTAGAAAACTAATTAACATAAAATAATTTATTTTTTAATATAATTTAGTAAAACAAATTTATTATTATTTTAAAGTATTGTATAGTTTAGGTTTGTAATATTATCATTTATCATATATAATAACAAAATTGATAACTATTATATAAGTATAATATAATAATTCAACAAAATATTGTTTAGTACTTTCCTATTATTGCAACTACGAATTATTCTATACTATAATATATTATTTGTATAAATATTATTGCAATAAAAAATCAAAATTATTCTAGTAAGTAATAAAATAAAATATAGCTAGTTATAGATACTATTAGGTATTTATATTGTTTTTAATTGTGCTAGAGTTAAATATTTTCTAGTGGAATTTTATCTAGGGATAACTTTTACCTTAATACTAGATATATTTTATCAGAAGAAGTACATTATATTTAACTAGGTATAGCAACAAAATTTCCCATTTTGATTACTAGAAAATTATTTATTTATATTGTTTTTATGTTAAAAATGTTTAACTTATATAAAAATAAAATTCTAACATTGATACATTAAAAATTTTGAATTAAAACCATAACTGTTAAACTGAAACAAATAAAAAAAAAAAATGTTTATTTAAACTGTTACTATCCTTCTTAAATATACATATTTTTTAGTTGAAATCGTCAATTATTTATTAAATTTAATAACAAAATATACCAATCATTTTTAAAACACTTTAGTTAATCTCAACAAATACATTGTTAACGTTTTAGAAATCTTATTGTTTATGTACTTTATAAATATTTATTAAAGTGTTCATACAAATTTATAACTGAATATCTTATTACTACTGGTACACTTACTGACTATAAATAGATTTATTTTAATGTAGTTGTTTAATAATTAAATTTATAATCGATGAAACAACGAGTTTATAAATAACGATTCCAATTTCCAGGTACAGAATTTGGAAAATCATATAAATATATTACGATGAAATATTTAGGTATTAATAAATAATTTTAAAAATAACATTGTTTCTGTTTTCACTATAATAAATAAATAATAATAAAAATTAATCAAGAACATTAATTTAATGTAGTGTGTATTGTGTACTGTATATTATCAGTAAAAATTTTCATAAAAAAAGTCATTGAAAAAAAACAAATGGAATTATTGGATGTATTAAATTCAAATTCAATAATTTATAATTATATAAGTACAAAGAACGATTCTAAGTGGATATCGCAGTAAAAATTTCTAAATATATTCCGTGATTCGTGTTTTTCTGTTGGTAATATAGTTTAAGTTACACTAGTATTTTTAAAATATCATTGTAGATACTAACCTAGTTAATAATAATGAATATTTTGAAAATAATTTTAAGTTTCAACGAATAATATTTTTTAAATTAAAATAAAATAACTGAAATAATTATTTTTTTTTCATACATCTATCAAATTAAATCTATCAAAATTTTTCATATATTTTTGAAATTTCTATAAGACTTACAGACTAAAGTCTAAGTTTAACTTACAGAAGCCTTGTATATTAAATTTTCAAGTTTTCTGACCAAGCAAAACTATTATATCAATATTTATAGAAAAAAAGTAAAAAATAAAAAATATGTTTGTAAACAGTCGATAAAAAAAAAAATGTTTAAAAAATAATATCATTTATAGAAAATGCATTTTGGTTATTTATTTATGTATTTTTATTTTTTTTTTTTTTTTTTGATTTGGTACACAGAATAACAAAATTGATTTTATTAAAAGCTAAAGTTGAAATATTTCAATTTTTCGTGGTTTTTTAGATTTTTCCTAATTACTTGATAAAGTGTAGAAAAATTTTTTTTTAAATTTTAACCACCTCTTCTCAGGTACCAACTAGATTTAATTTATTATCAGTAACTATTCTCAAAGTTGAAAAAAATTACGATGATAGACAAACAAACAATAATAACTTGTTAGCTTTACACGCATTGTATAACTTGTATGCTTCTGATCAACCAACCTCCGCCAACACCATTGTGGCATACTATGCAGATGACAAACTTATCATATCTTTAAATGAAAACCCTATTGTTGGATCGCTTAATCTACAAAATCACCTTTCCCTTATGGAAACTTGATATAAAAATTGAAGTTTTAAGGTAAATCAAACCAAATCTAATCACACAACTTTTACCCTTAAGCTAGGTCACTGTCCTCCAGTCACTCTCTATAACACTCAAATTCCAACTACCCCAACTGTCAAAAATCTTGGCCTAACCCTTGACCGTAGACTAACATGGGCCCAACATACACGCGTGTTAAAAGACTTCAACTAAATCTGCGACTTCGAATGCTTAAATCTTTACTAGTCAATAACAAACACGCCAACCTTAATATAAAACTACTAATGTATAAATCCCTCATCAAACCCATTTAGACCTATGGTCTCCAACTCTGGGGAAATCCAAAAAAATCAAATACCAATCGTATTCAAGCCTTTCAGAATATTGCGCTAAGAAAATTAACAAACTCGAAAGAAACGAAATGTTTCTAATCATACCCTTCACACGGACCTAAAAATCAAAACAGTAAAAAAAGAAGCAGTCACCTATTATAAAAGATTCTATAGATAATAATCGGCTTGCAACTCATCCCAATCCTCTAATTAAAGTGCTTTTAGCAAATGTTATTCTAGGTAATCCTCCAAGGCGTTTAAAACGCAACTGGTGTAGAGATATGCTAACTTAATATTATACTATAAAAAAAAAAAAACAAATAAATAAATAAATTCATATATATATATATAAATTAATGTATAACCTCAATTTTTAAGTGCCATCACTGGGTGGCTGCTTTTATCAAGCCTATTCATGTATTATATTATCTTAGCTAATACTCTTATTGTACCCATGAGGTACAGATTGTGTATACTCGTATAATAACAACAAAAAAAAAGCTACACGCATATTACTCCAAAATATATTATTCACAAGCATGCACGATACTACAACTGTGAATTACTATCTCTTTACAAACGCTTTCATTTTACTGTTCATATTACTACTTATAGCTATTACTATAATTACTAGTTTCATATCTAACAAAAGATAATGGCGTCTCGTGCCTCTAGGTGTGCAAAGTATGCGCACACCATATAAATTAATACAAATAAAATAGTAAAAATGTATTTTCAATTGAATACACATTTTTATATAATTCAAGTTTAACTATAATAATTTACTGTATAATATTGTATTATAATTTAAAAAAAAAATTATGTTCATTTATACTCGTATTATACCCAAAAATATTACTCCAACAATTTATTTTTGTTATGTAAGAAATATACATCATTTGGTTTGCAGCTCAGTCAGAACACCATTTGTCTGTGTAAATTTGCTAGGCCATTGAGTGGGGAGTTAACAAAAATAAATGGAACCGCTAAATACCACGGTAGCCACAACGTTCCATATCGGTTATTATTTTATAGGGAAAAGACTTGAACTCGTATATAAAAATGTTTAATTATTTTTTTTTTAATTAATACAATTATCGTACTATAATAATATTATATACATAAAGTCTTAATTTTTTTCTCTAATAAGCTTTTGCAAGAATTGCACATCACTTACTTTGAACACCACGAGCCGTCATTGACATAAGATAATAAAATTATAAACAATTTTAATCTAATACAATTATCTATATTATCTACCATAATTTATACTAAAAACTTGTTTTAAAAATTTTAATTTTTTTTTTAAATTCATATTTTTTAACTTACTTGTTTTACAATTTTCTTCATCGGAACCATCTACACAATTAACTTCACCATCACATAGATATCCAGGACGAATACATTCCGAATTTTTACACTTAAATTCTCCATGCCAGCATTCTCTATGCTCTATTCAAAAATATTGTCATAAATCTACTTATTTTTAAAGAATTAATAAGTTTTATTTAAAACCTACTGCATTGAAGTTCATCCGATCCATCACCACAATCGTCTTTGAAATCACATGTTTTATCAGTGGGTATACAAAAATAATTTGCGCATTTAAAATGTGTAGTTGGACAAACGTGTGTTTCTATAAATAAATAAAAATAACATGTGTTTGAGTAATATACACTTTTGTAGTTTAATTTTTTTTTTGTACATTTTCAATTTTTACCAAAACCCAATTAATCCATCATTTGTTCAATTAAAAATATATACGATATATAATTTTATATTCTTATTGGGTATTTATTACATTTTCAATAAATTTGAACCAGATATTAAATAAATTTAACTATTAATTTTTGTATTTCGTTAGTGAAAAATTATATTTGTATATCAATTATTGCATACGCAACACCAACATCATTTAAATAAATTTAAAGTAAGCTTCAGCATAGATGGCTTATATGAAAACTATGTAGTTTGTAAACTTCATAAATTTAATATAAGTAAGTTTTGTTATCTATTATGTTTCTTAATTTTCGATCATTTAAACAAATCAATAATTAAAAATCAAATGATTTAATATTTTTTTTATTATTATTATTTTTATTATAATTATTATTATTTATATAAATAACACTAGCATCTAAGGACATGAGTATAAATTATTCTTATATTTTATTTACATATTTACACATTTAACTTAATTTAAGTTGAATAATTTAGATTCTTTTAGTTGGTAATAATTATGTTATTTATTTAATGTGGGTCCAATTGTAATGCTTTCAGTGGTTGACTATGCCGGTAAGATATCGGGACTTTTTCGTTGGGTCACAAATTCGCAACTGGTATTAGGCAGCGAACTCTTCATATAAATAAAAGAAACATTTTTAATTATTACTATAGAGGAATTATAACGAATAATTTGATGTTGAAAGCATGATTGACATTTTTCTAAATATAAGTGATTTATTAAATAAAAAATTAAGTATTTTTAATTTATTTTAATATTATATTCTGTTTTTATTAAATATAAAATATTATTTATTTGTTTAGTTATTTTAGTTACTGATATAGTTATTTTATTTATAAATTACTAATTTAAGAGCAAAATGTTCTATAAAACTTCAATTTAAGCATGCATTTTAGCTTAATACAATTTCTAAATGTGTATCTAGAGGACTAAACAATTTTAAGGACCAGTCAATTATTTTTATAATTTGTTACTGATTCTCTCATCTACAGTGAGTTTATGATAAATGATGTTTATTTCTAGTGTCTTTATATTTTTAGCATTTTGTTAAGATATTCTTAATAGTACAATCCAATTCACATAAATTACATATATTTTTATTACTAGATTTAATAATATAATATTTAATGTAAACTACTTTATTTCACTCTAATTACATAAAATTACAAACGTCTCCAGAATTCAGGAATAAATGTACCTAATACCTATATCATAAAACCAAATTGGTTCATCAGTAATTTTCTGTGATAGCACAACCTAATTTAAACTAACAATCAAGTAAAACACATAAATAAATTACAAACATTTTCATCAAAACTAGGTCCAATAAACCGTGCAATTAAAAAAATTGATTTTATTTAAATTATAATGTAAAACAATAATTTAATATGCAACATTCTTTTATAACTTTTTTTTTACGTTTGTAATGAGTTAATACAACTTTTATGAAAATAGTTATAGCTATAGTAAATACAAAAAACCTACTATATTGTCTATATCTTTCTATGTGCCAACAACAGCAACATTTTTTAAATTTATTTTTAGGATAAGTTAGGTTATTATTATTTTTGTTTTTTCAGTCATTGCACAAATGCATCTGTATTATAATTCAGATGAGTTTTCATTAAGGTAGATGAATCTTTAACAATTTGTTTCATATTTTTATATTATGTACAAAAATACTTCAACAACTTTATCATAAATAATATTAGTATGCACAGCACTGTACAAATCACTATCTTGGAGATTAACAAAATAATTTGGTAGACCAACTTTAACATCGTAATTATAATGATTAAAATATAGATACATAATATGCATAAAAAAATAAGAACAAATAAATAAGATAAATATAATATTATACAAGCATATTATGATCGATTGATTTCCGAACGTTTTGATCTGTAAAACATAATTATAAGTTTGTAGTGAATGCACTATAGGTTGATTATTAGAATTAATTCACTGTTTTAAGACATATATAAATATTCTAATTTATCGTTATAGAATATGGAAATGGTAAGCCATCTCGACAATAAAAATCCAATAAGATAAATCTTAGCTTATATCCTAAGTAAACGATTTTTTTTTAACTAATTTTTTCATGAAGTGAAACACACTTTATGTTAATTACGTTATATATTTATTTTGGATAGTAAAAATTCTCCGAAAATTACTTACACGGCTTTAACAGTTCTGCATATATGTGTTATTTTTTTTTTAATTCTCAGTAATTTAATAAAACAACTAAAAAAATTTTGGAAAATTTATCACAACTTATTCAGTAAATAAACCTAGCCAATTTTAAAAATATTTTTAACTTATTTAAGAGAAATAAAAGTGGTACAAAATGTTCACAAAGTATTATTTCGCTAATAATCAAGTTATATTAAAATTTATTTACTGTAATTAAAAATAAATAAATTGTTTTAATTATTTTGTGTATTATTTATAAATAATATTTAAAAAGCTTAAGTATATATTTATATCATTTTCAGATTTTAATTTGACAATTTAGTATTGTATAATCTGCGTGTAAGATTAAAAAAAAAAGATTAAGATTAACAAACATATAAAATGGGAAAATATGTATTAAAACTATAAAAATAACTTCTGAAAGAATATTTTTTGAAGCCTTAAAAACAACCAATTATTCCAATAACACGGTAACAATCAATTAAATCACGAATACCATTAATCAATAAAATCAAATACATTTTATAAATAACAATAACTTCCTATCATTAACTAAAATCTATGATAAAATATGTGTATAAACTTGATACAATAAAAAATATAATACTATAATCATTAAAATCTTCATAAAATCATAAAAAATTAAAAAATTAAATTAATTATAAATTATATGTTTATACTCTATATGTATATATTTAAACGGGTATAAAATAACTGCAATAAATTGTATGGTAATGTCTTAATATTGAGTTTATATTACATTGGTAGTTATTTTTTTTTTTAAGTACAAAAATCTATGTATTTCTAATGTAACTTATATAAAAGCTGACTTTGACTTTCAAATTCATAAGAACACAAATAACTATAAGTTGATGCATGAACTTTTTTATGGATTGACCATATTTTAATTATTTTGTATAAATTGAGTTGATCTAAATTATTGAAAATTATTGAATTTACACAGTAATTAAGTGACTAAACTATATAAAAACGCATACAAAATACTTCAATAATGAGGTTTAATTTATTTGAAAAGCATTTTTTTTTTTTTTTTTTTTTAACAATTTTCTGGTATTATTTTGTTCATAAATTCAATTATTAAACACAACAACAATAATAATAATGGTAATAGTTAATAGAGTAAATATTTAAAACTTTATAAACAATTATTAATAAATATATTCCATTAACCAGATTTACTTAAAATAAACCTTAAAAATATCACTTAATGTATATTCACGTTTAATAAACTTTAAACAAAAATTACAATAAAATAGACTTACTGCAATTAATTTCATCTTCTCCTTCATCACAATCAGCAATTTTATCACATCGTTTCACCAGTTCAATACATTTGTTCATACATCGGAACTCATTTTGTAGACAACCTGCAAATAATTAATTCATGTAATCAATCATTTTAAACAAAAAACATATCAAAATGAAAACAATTTTGTCATACGATTTATAAGTAGATATTAAGGTATACATTAGTAAGTATAATTTTTTTTTTTTCATATACCGTAAGCAAAATATATACTAAACATATGATACATATTCGGAGTAATAAATGACACTCTATTTTATTTTTTTCTACCATTAGCGTGGGTTCTACTTTTTAAATTGTAAAATAATCTTTACATTAGCATTACATCTATAAAATTGTTTAAAACTATTACTTATTTAACCATTCCATTGTTATATTGATAACAATATAGTAATATAATAGTTATATGAAAATATTAATCATGGTCTTTTAATTTGAATTCATAAAAATAAAATAATTATTCGCTTGTGTACTTATATATTAATACTATAAAAAGTCGTTTTATATAGAGATAGATCAACAGTTAGAAAGTTAATCTTGTAATTTTCTTTAACTTTTAGAAAACTAAAAATGTTTTAATTTTATACTTTATTCTCAAATATAGTAGGTACTTAGAAACTTATATTGATTAACACCATATAATTAAAAAACAAAATATCATTGTTATAAGTACACGTACTAAGTACTTCAAATATTAAAACCCACTAAAATATTCTGATAACTGGTTATTTCAAAAGAAAAACCATAAAATCACTAATAATTGTTAACCCCTTCGGTTTTTAACAAGCTATTAGCATAGTAATCTCTGAAAATATGTCTTATTTAGTTGTATTATAGATATTTTAATAAAATACAATAGTATTGTTACTCATTATTTATTAATTTATATGATTCCCTCATTATTAAAAAATTTCTTTCAATAATTTCATAAAAAAAAAAAACATCAAATGTATGGTTTATAACGATTGTATTTTAAATTATTTTTTTCTTTTAACTTACCTAAAAAAAAAAAAAATCATAAAGACTTAAAATATATTATGAATTTTCTTTTTGAAAAATGAATATGTCAAAGAAACGCGTCTATAATAAAAATTATAAGAAAACAGATCTCGCGCGAATAAAAATAAAAGTATGATTATGACTATGACACACTTCTCTCACCTTGGTAAAAAAAAAAACAAACTAATATTGTATTATTATCATAATTTTAAAACAATGATATAACATCGAATTCAAAAAATAATTTTTTATAAATCTTGAATATAAAGTACCTATACCTATAGAATGTATTCTATATATACCTGTACTTTTATACGAAGTTTTTAGTATTATATAAGCTTAAAAGTAAAAATTTTTAAATATTTATTGAATTTGATATTTAAGAACGACAAACTGTGATTCAAAGCTATAAATTCTATTAAAATCAACAGTTAAAAAAATCAATCAAAAATGAATTCAATTAAAAACTAAAATCGGACATTTTACTTAGATTTTAACAGTATTTTTTATTATAAATAGTAATTTTTATACACTTAAAGAATTTACTTAAAAAACAAATAATTTCCAACCCACTTAATTTTAATTCAACAGATAAGTTATGTGAGTTTATGAAAGTTTTAGTACCGAATAGTGCCTAAATAAAAATAAAATATAAAACATTATTTGCTTCACTAAAATTCAAAAATTATCAAGAAATTTAAAACTTACAAACAATGAACTTTTTAAATTATCAAAAATGTTTATAGGTTAAATCTAAAAATGGTTGATATTTGGATATTTAAATAATAAAAATACAGTCTAATTCACTTATAACGATCTTCAAGGGACCCAGAGAATACGATCGTTATAACCGAACTTCGTTATATTCACATAATAAAAAGTAACTACACATAAAATATAAAACCAACCAAATACATTGTTTGGAATCGTTTTACCTAGAATATAATACAATATCGTAATAAGCGAATTCGACTGTACTTGGATTTGAATATATTTTTAAAATTATACTTAAACTAATAAATGAAACTAATCCGCACCTCTGCAAAAGATAACTTATAAATTATAATAATTACTGAACATAAATTATTATAAAAGTATAGAAATATCTATTATCAAGCTTCTAAGGATCCTAAGCTATATATATATTATATATATTGGAGAATCAATAAAAATTAATTTTTAATATTCATTACCCATCACAGCGAATAGTCACTAATATATATATTTTATATTTGGTTAAAATCACTCAAATGACTACACAATAAATAAGTATAGTCAAAGGCCGTATCTGAAGGGAGATCCAAGAAGTTTGGTCCCTACCCTACTGACATTCCTTAAATAATTTACAAATGTTTAATATATTTAATTTTAATACCAATATAAATATTTCAGTTATAAATGACTAAAACTTCAATTTATTAAATTGACTAAAGACTGTTTTGTACCATATGAAAATATTATTTTAATGTCTGTAATAATAGATTGTTATTGATCGACAACAACCGCTATCGATGCCAGTCGACGCATGGACGGTCTACAATGATTAACACGATTCACAACAATATTGTGTTAGTAAATAAAAAATATTATAATAATACACAGTCATCTGCCAGACTGACAAACACGTTAAATTATTTTATTAAATATTGCGTAAGCCGTAAGGTAACAAGATGTCAAAGTAATTTTATTTATTTGATCAAATATTTTAATAAAATTAGATAAATTTTTTTTATCTATATATTATTCAGGTTTTGAACACCTCCCTAAAAAACAATTTCTATGTACAGACTTGAGTGTAATTTATATTAAAAAAATTTAATACAGAATAAATCAACTGACGTTATTCAATTATTCATGGGCATGCGCACAAGATTAGCAGATTAGCTAGTATAAAATAAAATTATTAATAATGAAAAATAAAAATATTCTTTTCTAGATTGGAACCTGTCATTTATCAATCGCATATTTTGTAAATAATTAATGTTGACATCAATATTGTATTAAATAAAAAGGAATTAATGGTTAAAAAACTTTAAAAATATTTTTTTTAATATTAACAGTCCTATAGCTATTGTCATGTAAAAAAAATATATAATAAAATTTATCTAAATGTAATTGTATAATAATAAAAAACAATATTTTGACTTATTTAAGGCATTTATTAAGGCTCTTGTTATTATATAAAGTACAATGCTAAAGTAACACTCAGGCAACTAATGCCTGAACTAAATAAATATAACTATTATATGTTTACTTATAATATAATAATAATAATATTATTATAAATACATAACTGAATAAAAAGTTTAATGTAAGTCGGAATTACCATTACTCGAATCTTAATCCAAAAAAAAAAGTTTGGGTTTTCTATATTCATTTGAAATTGTAATAATGTTAAATATTTTATTTAAATAATAATAAAAAAAATAAAATCAATTTGGTTTAAAACTAATGTTATATAATAATTTAAATATTCCCAATTTCCCACTATTTTTTTTAGTTTTTCACATTTTTAAAAATAAAACACTGGAAATTTCCTATTTTTATCCAATTAAATAATGTTTCCTACTAAAAACATTCCTCAATGTTGAAGATTTAAGTAATTTTTTAACTACTCACTCCGCTCAGAATCTAACATATAAAATAATAATAAAAATTATAATGAGTATCTATTAAAAATCTAAAATCTAAATATTATAATACTGTAATAAATAACAATCAATACGCTATTAATTATTATTTATTATATTATTTTATTTGTGTGTCTTAGTTAATTGGCTCATTAAAACAAATATTACTAACTACTATTAAAGAATGCATTAATAAAAGTGTTATCAAATTCTAAATCATATAAACTTAAACCTACATATGAAACACGCTGGATTAAATAACATAATCCAATTCTTCAATTTCTTGAATTATACGATATTATTTGAAATTTCTTGGATGAACTTAAAAATTTTAATTAGGAAACTACGCTAACTACTAGTAAAGCTAATAATTTACTATGTTTGAATTCGAATTTTTAGTTAAACTTCAAGTTTTAACAGAACTATTTTCAAATACTTTGCATCTTTTCAAGCAACTGCAAGCTCAAAATTTGTAATATTTTCAGTTATTGAAAACAGTTAAAACTATTGTACTATTGTAGAAGAATTTTAAAATAAAAGAAAGAACTAAATCAAAAGTTTAAATTAAATTTATACCAATTAATTAACATTAGATAATATGCATAAGATAAAAGTTTAAAAAACTTTGAACGTTTTCAAAACAAATTAATCATAAAAATATATTGACCACCGACTCAAAATAATATTTTTTTAACCTTATTCTTTCCATTTTTGGATTATTTAATATCGGAAATTAAAATTAAATACGTTTTTTTATTTGAGCAACCTCTGATAAAATTTCCTGGATCCACGCCTAATATTTTATATAGTGTTATGTGATAAATTCCACCATAAAATGTCAGATATTAATGACGATTATAGTAATTACATAGTTAATTCCTGCACCATGAATATTAAGTGTTTAATCAGATTGGTAGTTTAAGTTCTAAAAAAAAATGAATTTGGTTCAATAGAAAAATTTTAACTTTATAACATTGAATTTTAGAAAACAAAGTTTATGACGAATACGCCTTAGTCGTTTCTATGACGTAAATCCTAAATTATCATTGTTTTCAAGACATGTAAATCTTTATTTTTTGTGACCTAGTGTAGCGCAGTGGCTGGCCGGCCTTGTTCTAAAATCAAGCTTCGGGTGACCACTCGAGTTCTTAGTAACGAATCCATGGCATACACTATACCCCCGTGTTCCAACCCTACTAACCAAACCTTACACAAAATACCTACTGTTTCTATGCACAGCTAATGGTCTTAGTCGTTGGGCTTAAATAAGATCAATAAAAAAAAAAAATCTTTATTTTGTGTCAACAAATTATAAATAAATAATTTTTTTTATCTTACAATACAAAAACTACTTTTTATTTTTTTACAATTGCAATTTAAATTGACGTCTTTGATTTTTTTCAAGGTTTTCGATTTTTTAAATTTAATTTTT